AAACTAACAATGCTTATGTATATGGAAGGTATAATTTTGCATCAGTGATAAAATTTGACATTTTTTCACCTCACATTCCAGAAAGCTCCTCTGTCCCAATGCAAAAAATGTACTGAAATATTGCGCAAGGGTGGAGCCAAATGTAGTTGTGTCCAGGGCCAGCCTGAGCCATTGTGAGGCCCTAAACAGGTTTTCCTTGGGGACCCCCAAATCAAAAAGTCAACACCAGATGGTTCATCATTCTAAGCTGCACCATTTGTGTAACATGCCCACTATCATTAGCATCCTTTGTAATTAGCACACATCGATCTGGTGTTATTGTGGATATTGATTTTTTACTTTATCGGAGCAGCAAACCACACTAATTAATTTGCATTTTAAAATGATGAGTGTTATTTAAGTGTGGTATATTAATTCAGCTATTTGAAACAAACATCAGCAGACAATCACTGAATTTACGGTAAAAAACTTCGGTTTACTACCTTTTGTTTTTAAAATTTGAAACTTGTGTAAAGTGTGCTGCATTACAAACTAAAACCAAATTACACTACAGAAAATAAAACAAATACATTGTTTTTTACTCATGTCACCTGGGGGCTCCTGGGAGCCCCTGGTGATTTGGGGGCCCAAAGCAGTCGCTTCGTCCGCATATGCCTTGGGCTGTCTCTGGCTGTGTCTTAGAACAAACTGGTACCTCTAATATTTATTTGATGATGGCAGTAAAAAATCTCACTTCATGTACAAAATATTTACTATTAAAAACTAATTCTACCACTTATCGTGTTGCAAAAATCAATAAGAGGTGCATTAGGTCAACAAAAGGTCACAAAATGTTTACTGCTGTCACATAGGAACAAAGACAGAAAATAGAAAAGCGTGAGCTGAAATGAAAACCAGTAAACTGATGGGCAGTATCTTTTGTCATCCAACATCATGAATTTAAACGTGTCATGAATTTTTAAACATAAATTACTTGATGGTCTTTACTTGGTGTGAAAGTCTGTCCTGTACAGGTTCCACCAATGTCCACTAGATGTCAGCATTTGAATGAAAGTCTGCTGTCAAATATATTTTTCTGTGAGAAATTCAACAGCTGTTCTCTGCTAATTGGCCAGACTAGTACAAGCTCATGTCACATCAGAGAAAACTTTCTTACTAGGAACACATTTTTGTGAGCTAGTGACATTTTTGTCATCCTGTTGATTGTTTGGTTTTTTACCTTGTGTATTTTTAGACCCAATTATACTTCAGCATCCAGAGTGGGTGGAAAAGTGAGAACACGTTACCTTCTGCACTTACGAGAAATAAAGCTTTAAATCCTTGCCACCATCAATCAGTGTTCCTGTGTAGTCAGCAGACTTCCTTATAGGAGGAACTCATAGGATGAGGGTGCACCCCTGGAACGAAAATAAAACTATAATTAACTGCTTTACAACCAAAATAATTTTTTTTCAAAAGTCAACAGTTTAAATGGAAATAATTGTACAATAATAATAACAATAAGTTCTAAATAGACTAATATAATTCATTTTTGTCAAATATGTGTTTCCAACTAAAAAGCACATGTTCACCTGGTGAAGGTGTGAATTCTTTAACAAATGGATGCTAAAAAAAAGTTTCAACTGTATTTTGGAGGCTTAGACATGCAAGCTTTGAATAAAAAATAAAAACGCTGAGGTTATAATTGTTTGTGTGGAGGGGTAATCCATGGGATGGACAACATATCGGCATCAATATCGATATTGGCTGATGTTAGTCATTTTTAACATATCAGTATAGAGAAATAAAACCGGGCCCACATTAACAACCGATATTTTTTTCCATCTCGTCTCCATTTGTTTGCCTGTTTCAGACATTGAGGGTGGTGGTGTGTAATTGTTTAGTCCTGTGAACAGTGACTGTAATAATCTCAGAACCATAAATATGTGTGTTGTGTGTACATAATAACGTAAGCTCAGCTTTAATAATTTTCATTCTATACAAAATCTGCTGTCTTTAGAAGCATTAATGTCAGTATATAGGTATCGGCAAATATCGGTTATCGGCCCTAACAGTGATCTTAACATCAGTATTGGCCCAAAAATTTCACATCGGTACATCACTAGTTATCCATAAAGTCCACAGTTGTAATTGTGATTAAAGTGTAGAAATATGAAATAACATACTGATATTAGCATCATTTATCTCCAACTCTGAAAAAACTGTTGCTAACATTAAAAAATATATATATTTCATTATCTTAAGATAATTTCCTAATTCCTAAATAAAATATTGATCCAAATTAATGAAAAGTTTAAAGTAAAAAAAAGTGGTTTTGCTTAACGATTGCTGTGTTCCTTGCAGGCATTTTGACATAGAAAATAGAAACAAAACAAAAACAGATTAATCAATATCTAACGTTGCATTCCTGTTTCCCTTTTTTATTTTAAAATCCAACAGAATTTAAAGCTGTTATAGTGGATCCGCAAACAAGCTATGGTAGGTTTAAACACAGCTGATTATATTGTACAAATTTTATACAGTTTTTAATCTCGTTTTCTTTGTGCAGGCTGAGGCAGGAGGTGTGGGGTGTGGCCTCGGAGGTGGTGGTCCCGTGTGCGAGTGTGGTGGTGCTGGGTTTTCTCACGTTGGTATGAATGCTCACTGCCAGGGGTGAATCTTTTATACTTTATTATTTTTGTTGTGTTGGGACTTCTCTGCCCCGCGTTACCTGCCTCCATCACTAGCCTCAGTCCTGCTTGTTAACCTTTTTGTTTATTTAAATTTATAGTTGGACTGTGTTTAGTTAACCCTCATTTTTTGGACTTCATGAATTAATTTAAGTGAGTCAAATTAATTTCCCTTTTCTCAGTACATTTCATTGGTTCAGTTTCTTTTGGGGCATTAATTTTAGTATTTTTTATGGTATTTTACATGGCCAGTTTTTAAAATGTCTTTTAAACTGTTTCTTCAATAAAATAAAATAAATTCATTGTAACTTCTGAAACCATGTCTGCTGTCAAGTGGAATGAATCTGCATGCTTTAATTCCTTGGGCGAAATTCCCAAGGTGGCGTTGTTAACGAAATTGCACTCGAGCAGGTACAATTGCCATACTTGCCGTCAACAGGTCATAGACCACTCCCGTATTGCCACATAAAGAATGGGCGACCCAGGGAAGTGTGGCGGACAACTGGATGAGCCAGTAGTTGCTTTCAGTCCTAACTGTTATTGGCTGAGGTTTTTAGACAAATGCAAGAGAACTACATCATTTTTTAACAAAATATATTAAGATACTATATTAGAACGTTTTGAAGAGGCATTAAAAATGTTTTAAGCTAATTTGTTTTCCAAATTTGCTATAACAGCTTTAACCCTCCCACTGTCCTAATGGCTGTGACCTCATGAGGAAAGTTGACCATTGAGCAGGGTTGATGGTTTATCCCTTGAGGTCCATGTGACAGGGGTGAGGTGGTGCTCACTCCTCACCCCTGTCACATGGACCTCAAGGGATAAACCATCAACCCTGCTCAATGGTCAACTTTCCTCACAGGGTCACAGCAATTAGGACAGTGGGAGGGTTAAGCCATTCTGCACCTCTCCACTCTTCGCTCTGTCCTAAACTATTTCCAACTTCTATGCTATATTTACTCCCACGACCTCACCTCTACATTGTAGTTTGCTTTGGTTTTGAGTCATTTAAACTATACTAAACAAACTCAATTAAACCAAGTCTAGTCTAACATTTTTATGACATTTGACTAAAGATGTTTACTCTTTGGTGTGTTCTTGTTAAAACGATAGTTTTTACAGGTAAGTGACTTATTGTGCCAACACATGGACTACGTTTTTAATTCCCAAGAAGAGACGGCCGTACTACTATTACGTATATATGAAAAAAGCTACATGTAGCTTAAACCAGTACACGGCAAATGGAAGGATGAAACAATGGCAGACTTTATTTGTGAGACAGAGTGACATCAGCCTAGTTTTGCCTAGTGAAGAGTCACTTTGTCATGTTTAATTAGTTTTTATTGACAACAGCATACGTTTTAGGCAAAGTAAACTCTAAACTTTTATTTCTGGAAAGTTACTAAACAAAGGCAATAAAAGAAATAATCTATCAAGTGGTAAAAATATCAATAAGAGAGGAATTGATACATTTAAGCAACAACATGTCTGTAAATATTGTCTAGGATTTTTTTTACCATATAGTTATGTCAAAAAGGTGAAGAATAGTTTTTATGTTTACCCAGATTTTAAAAAAAAAGTAATCTGACTGCCCCCTACTGTCATTGTGGGCAATGATTTTACCAACACATTTTGTCCAAGGTAAAAAGAACACCATCACATAAGTGTAGCAGCCACACATATATGAAGGGTACACACATGACCAGGCACCATCCTCTGGCGTCAGCCTGGCTAAAGGACACATCCCTGCAGCTCACTGGCTGGTTGCTATAGTAGTCTGGATCAGAGGCTTTCATGCTGCTGTTTGTCTGAGCTTCACAGACCTCCATCCCTTCACTGAAATGTGTGTGTGTGTGTGTGTGTGTGTGTGTGTGTGTGTGTGTGTGTGTGTGTGTGTGTGTGTGTGTGTGTGTGTGCGTGCGTGCGTGCGTGCGTGCATGAATGCATGTGTGTGTTTACTTGAGTTAATCCAGTGCAGCAAGAAGAGACTAGGAGCATAAAGCCTGGGAACATATCCAACAGGTGTCAAACTAAAAGGAAAACCATGCAATGTTGTTCCTTTTCCTCCCTAATAATGTGCATTAATAAGCTCAAAATTACTCATTATAGATAAGTCGCATTTAATAAGTCCAATATTGACTCATGAATCTATGACACATCGTGTGTAATGATGCTTATAGGCAAAGAAATGTCTCTAATGGATTCTTAAGAGGTTATCTGCTCTGATGAAAGTGAGGTTTGACTGAGGTCCAGGTTGATTGCTCCTTTAATGGTTTAAAGACAAACAGAACGAAGAACAAAGTTCACCTGAACCCGTGATATAAACAAATGAGGTAAATGCCCACAGCTCAGAGAGCAGCTTAGCACTGCACAGGAACACTCAGCAGGATGACAGGGGACACTACATTTACACAGGGAATGACTAAAAGTTTGTTTTTCTTGGCACGCGTGGTAGAATGAGTCATGATTTTATGAGGCTTATCAAATGGTGAGTATGGTATTTGTTCTTTGGGTCTCCTAAAGGCCATTTTATAGGCTTTGGCGTAGCTAGACTACATTAGCATTTATAACAGGGGCAGTTGTTATTACAACGGCCTGATTGTATGAATTTGTTCTAAAAGTAACTAATTAACTTTTAAAGAGGTAAAGTTATACCATTGTTACAATGATGACAGTTTCTATTAACTGCTGCTTCTTAAATGTGAGAACTAAACCTTTATGACAGATTTCATCTGGAATGTTTAATTCTTTGTAAAGAATGCTGTTTATTTTAGTGTGTGTGTGTGTGTGTGTGTGTGAACTCTCTTATTAAAATGACAGACACCCCGAGCAGCCTAGCATGTTTTTGAATCTCCATTTTCCCCCCACTAATTATTTATCATTTAGTTATGTGTGTACACAGGCCACAGGAGAAAAGGCAACTTTTATCAGCTGAATAACTCTAAAGCTTTCCTGTTTGTAGTTCAGGCAGATGGCGAGCAGGATGGTTTGCCTCGGCGATGAAGAGTTTTCCCTCCAATCATGCTCTGAAGCCTCTGATTCCCACCTTCTGCCTGGTGGTTCTGATGATTTACGGCCAAGCTGATAAACTCAGAAACTTCGTGGCTGGCATTTTTATCCCACAGTATCGCTACCCATACCCTGTGGCTCTCTGCTTCTCTCAGGTTGGTGCCTGAATTGTTCCTCTCAGAAAAACGGCATCGTGCAGCCAACAAAATGTATCCAATGAACCGTAGAACAATCCTGTAAGAGTTGATGCACATCATGCAAGCTCATTTGCATGCTGTTTGTTTTGTACAGAGCCGTTTGTGTCCTGGTGGCATATTTGCTTTAGCTGCAATAACATTTCTGACATCTTTGTTAAACAAAGCTACTTTATACTTAAAAACACTGAATATCCATCCATCCATCCATTTTCTGATCCCGCTTGTCCACGTAGGGTCGGGGGGGGGGGGGGGGGGGGGGGGGGGGGGGGGGGGCTGGTGCCTATCTCCAGCGGTCAATGGGCAATCAGGCGGTGTACACCCTGGACAGAGTGCCAGTCCATCACAGGGCAACACTGAATAACACTCTGGTAAAATACTCAAATATCATTAAGGTGTCACAGGATTGTTAAATATTTAGGTGTTTGTTCAGAGAACTTTCTATGCTGGTTTGTTGTAGTCAAGTCAATGTTTAATGAGTGTGTGTGTGTGTGTGTGTGTGTGTGTGTGTGTGTGTGTGTGTGTGTGTGTGTGTGTGTGTGTGTGTGTGTGTGTGTGTGTGTGTGTGTGTGTGTGTGTGTGTGTGTGTGTGTGTGTGAGTGAAATAGAGGTTGGAGGACATGGTCAAGCCTGATTCCTGCTTAAGCAAAGGCACATTTGCGCCCCCCCCCCCCCCCCCCCCCCCCCTCGCAGTGTCGAATCTCGTCTGTATTCATACTGGCCCTGGCCTGTTGCAAACAAATTCTCCACCAGGACAGCAGGAGGCGCATTCCTAACTTATTGGCCTGAGTTTTGAAGAAATTATCCGCCAAAACAACAGAGGCCATGCACCTATGCAGGTGTGCATACTCTTGTAGTGACGTGTCTGCCCAACTACTATTTACTATTTGCGACACGAAAAGATGGACGACACAGACACAGTGAATTCTTATTGAGCAGGAGCTGCTTGAGCTAGAAGAACAACAACTCTGCTCCATCTGCTCCATGTCTTGACTGCGTGAACTCTCGCGCTGTTTACATTTTTAAGGGAAGATATGTCGTGCCGGAAATGACGTTGGGTTGTTTGGCTGACCAATAACAGACATCCAGCATACAACGCCGCCATCAGATGTTTAGAAAATAGAGCTCGACTCCAACCAATGTTCCAACATGATCCAACACTGTTGGATCGCCCATACAACGTCGCATCATGGCGATCCAACAGATCCGACATGCTGGAGCAGTGTCAGTATGAATCAGCCTTTAGTGTCAAACAGAGGTGAAAAGCGTATAGAGTTGAGAAACACAGGCACTTGATAGATGTTTAACCAAATTGCCACCCTATGGACGGACTTGTATGACCCCGTCCAAAGGTCTGTGGACAGGGAGTTCTCGGAGTGACTGACAAGCAGATTGTAGATTCACCTCCATGCTTAGTGGGCTGTTTGACTCCACACAACATGGCCTATGAAACCCTCCTGAAGAAAGGGGCTGAAAGGAGTACAGGTCCATGGTTCTAGCTGCTCTTATCAAAGTAACACATTACACAGTGGTGTCAGTGGTTGGCTTTAACCCACAAACCCTGGACCCAAGTACTCAATTTATGATAGTTGGTTTTGCTGATAAAGGATAATTAGCTCTAAGGGCCTCACAATGTCAGAAAAAAATATGTCAAAAGAATTCAAGCAATATACCAGCCCTAAGTGAAAAGGAGTCTGCTGCCATATTTCCCAGAGTATGGGGGAATACAGTGGTCCATTTAGACTAGAGACTGCTGTAAGCCACTGCTGCAAGGGCATGAGGCAGAAGCCCCAAAATACACCTATTTCCTCCTCGGCCATTGTTAGTGCAACTTGATATGCTGTTATACTTCTAAAAACTGAAATGGGTGTAAGCCTATAATGCATTTGTTTTAATGGAAGTACAGTAAGTGAAACGCTAGCTGTTACCATTCACTTGCATTGTTTATGCTAAGCTAAAGCGAGCAGAATCCTGCCAGATCAGGAGAATGACCTACTCTAACTGTGGAAGCAGAAGATATTTCACTTAAGGGTGGAAAATTCTTTTAAGATTGATTCAGAAAGTAGATCTTGTTTTATTCAATAATGCCGGCAGCTTATTTATTTGATCTAAATTTCTCCAGGTTGTGGTGTCTCTTGTTTTCCTAAATCTCCTCCATGTCCTGGGTCTGGTGCCCCTCAAACGTTACTCCAGGCCTCTCGGTGAGAGGCTGCTGCTGCCTGCGCTCTGTAACAGCGTCCAGGCCGTGTTGGTTATGTGGACCAGAGCCAGCACCTCATACGGAGGCTTCTTTCTCTTCATCATGCCTCTGCTACCTCTAGTAACTGTGGGCTTCAGTTTCGTCCTGAAGGTGACTTCTCCACCATCCAGCCACTCCACTGCTCTGATTTCCATGCTAACTGGGATGTTTATCATCTTCTCAGGTAAATCCTATAACAACATTCAGGTGAAGAAGGGAATTCTTCATGTTTCATCTTCTCAATCCTCTCTTTCCACAGCGTCCAAAGGAATTTCGTGCACAGAGCCGCTTGAGTTTATGTACGCACTTCTAGCTTTAATCCTCCAGAGCATTTATCTTCTTGTCTTGGCCAAAGTATATGAGACAGAGCACCACCAGCCTCATGAAGCCCAAGCCTCTTACTTTGACATCTTCTACACCCAACTGGTCAACCAGAGTGGGGTGTTGGGCCTCCTGTGGCTCCTCCACCCAGACAGTCCCTGGCATGTTTTGAGGCACAGCAGCTGGCAAAATCTGCTCTTCCACGGATATCTGCTTGCGATTCTCCTGTTAGGGATGGTGCTCAACTTCCTGGTCTGTATTTCTGCTCTTTGTGTCTCGCCGTTTGCTGCTGCCATGCTTTACTCGTCCAGGCAGATGGTGCAGCCCTTTCTTCAGCTGCTGTAGTCTCACTGGATGGTAAAAATTCATATTTATGTAGCCTTAAAAACTGAAAATTCTCATCATAAGACTCATTTAGAATTTTCTGCCATTTTGGATTGTAAGAATTTTTTAACTAATTTACAAAGATTGAAGCAAAACCAGAACAGGGTTAAACAGGAACTAAAGCCTCGCTTAAAAATAAACAATGGTTCCAAGCTTTTCAACCTTTAACCAGACATAACACAGGTGAAGACATGCAGCACTAACAATACTTTTTTTTGTTAATTTAATCCTTATTTAACCAGGGAAATCTTTTGAGATCAAGTCTCTTTTGCGAAGGTGCCTTGGCTGAACTGTAAGGACCAGATATAAAGGATCCTTTGTAAATAAGCACAAACTGGTTTTCAACATTTTACTGCTGCAATGAGCTTAAAAATGTCATACGAGACAGTTTCAAGGTCTAAATATAAAACATGTTAGAACTTATAACACCTTGATTTAACACAATTTTTTGGCTGAATTTGAGGATTTTCAGATTAAATCCAAGTCAGATTCTGTTGGTTGCAGCCAATCACAACCAGTAATGTGATCAAAAGGCAAATATCTCCATCCTAGCTAAGACTTGTCAACCCTTGACCTCTAAAAAGTCTGCAAAGGCATCAAAAACAGTTAACACACCCTGCTGAACTTCTTGACCTCATCTGTTTTCTATTGAAGCAATAACGACTAAAGTATCAGCAGCAGTGAACTTTTCTCATGTTTGATAGTTTATGTCTCATCAATAAGAAATTTATGAAAAAATAATGATCAGCTTTGTAAAAAATGTATTACATAAAAGCTAAACTACCCAGACTTCTGCCAGTCTAGTTAAGAACAGGGTGTACTTTTTCACAAACAGATCATCTCAGGAGGACAAAAGTCATTTGCAGCCAAGAACCCTTTTTATTTTATTACCAAGCAACTTCTAAAATTCCTATTTTTGTAAAACTGAGTAGTTTCAATAATTGTGCTAAAAAAATTCAACAAGGATTAAACACCTACTTTTGTCTTTTACTGAATACAACTGTGTTTTCCCTTAAAGACTCTGGTATTTCAGACGACAGGGATTAACGAGGGTGAGGTTGTCCGCGCTGACACACAAACCTTTGAACTCTCTTCAATGCATGTTTATAAATCAGTGTTTTTGGTGAATGGATGAATTTTAACCAGAAGACACTCCTGAATGAGTCTGCCAGCTCAGAGGAAAAAGGGACAATGGTGAAAAACTGTTTTCTTTAGAATAAGTTATTACACCTAGATTTTAGAAATTTAGTCATTATTTTGTATAATAGATTCTGTGCATATTTAATAAAAACATTTGTCGTGTCCAGCAACGGTCAGTTTAGGTACAGTCTGACCTTTCAACGTCTATTCAACATCTGGTCAGAAAGGAGACACAACACTGCATGTGTTCCCTTTAAATGAGCCTGCCTTCATACCAGCTGGGACTCACAGACTCTGCAAGTCTGAAAGATAAACAATAACTTTCTTTCCCAAGGTCCCATCTGTATGCCTCCACAGAAGGAAGAACTCCAGCTCGAATCAATTGCTAAATTCAAGAATGATTTCCTAAATCAATATGAACTTCTACCTTGACTTATAATCTAGATAATCACGAAATAAACACTTCTTTATTACTACTTATAATAATTATAGTATAATGAAATGCTTCATTAATCTTTGGCCACTGAATGGATGTTATGTTTATGTCTACTAGAACCTGCCATGTGTTCAACATGTTTTGACGACGAGGTCCTCGCACCTGCACTCACACAATAACAAGTACGGTTAAGTAAAACTCCAACACATAGAGACTTTTAAACCAGTCAGAACATCCTGTATCAAGAAGGCGTTTTTCTGAGTTGTCTTGGTAACATCTCTCAAACCTGTCCGCCTCTGATGGGCTGTGCAAATCATAACATCAAAACCTTAAAGCTGGATCTGCCACGGCGTGTGGGCGAGGTGAGGCGAGGATCCACATGCAGGGAGGAAGACAGGTAGGACGTTTATCATGTATTTTAATACCTAACACGCAGGACACTGAAACAATGGACCGACACAAGACACAGAACAGAAGGGGCTTAAATACACGAGGGCCGGGAGCTAAGGTGATTGGGAAACGAGAGGCAGGTGGGAGCAATTAACGAGACACAAGGCTGAACCAAAACGGGAGACAGGACAGGGTGTGTCAGGATCATCCTGAGTGATTCGACAGTTCTAGAGAATCGCTCAGACCGGCTATCTGTAGCAAAACCTCTTTAACCATCAAAGATTTTGACACGTCGTCAAAACCTTTTTGCACCTACAAAGCTGATGAGCAAACAGTTCCTGCAGAAACAAAGCTGATATTGTTAAGACTCCTTAAGAGTCCGCCAGACGCACGGTTCCATCCAGCTGTTGTGACCCGAGACATCTCTGGACTGAAGAGTCGGTACCACGGTATTCTACAGCCCTCCGGTGCCAGAGGTCAGCCGACCCCTGCGACCTTCGGATCCACCAAGACGGTCTCTCCAAAACGGGTGAAGTAGACATGACAGATTGCATCTGATGTTCTTCTGATGATAAGAACTTTATAGCTTAGAGCAAACCAAATTCTTTTCACCAGAACTCAGCTTGCTTTGATAAGGAAGCTCTGACTGACATCGCATTCACACGTAGGTTCCTTCATCACGTTTAGTTACATCCACTCACGGTAAATGCTTAGTTAATCAGTCATGTTTTAAATTGTTTGTAAATAAATTCTTACTTTTATAACCTGACTCTTTCTTGAAGTAACACAAAGTGTGGTTGATCACTGAAAAAGCAAAGAACCTAGATCTTCTGAATTAAATCCTAGAACCTTCTGAATAATTACAATAAAGACATCGCAGGTTAATATTTTATATTTATATAGAATATTACATCTTCCTGGTCAAAACCAATTAAAATCATCGATTTGCCTACGCTACACATTTTAAATAAAACAGTTTGGAGGAATTGTTTGACATAATGATGACGTATAAAACCAACACAGCCTACACAAGTTATTTATGTTTGGGAGAATGAATCCACATCCACAGATAAGGAGAGCAGAAAAACACACGTTGGTTGTGTTTGAGATCATTAGTTTATTGAATTTTTTTGGAAGTGCTCCACAGGACATGTCCTACATCCATAAAAAAACTGTTTTACAGTAATATACCGTAGATATATATTTACACACACACACACATTTTTCTTTTGAAGTTATTTGTAATGAAGGCACTGGACTTTGGCTTTTTCCGTCACTTCCCTGATTCCCAACATCCGCCCTCCTCTATGAGGGATCGGAGTTGGGCGGCAGATGCAACCCCAGGCTCTGCAGCAGGTTAGAAGCAGGTCCAGCCAGTCCAGCCTGGCTACTCAGCGACTCTAACAGATTTGTGACCAAATTAACATCAATGTCTAATGGCTGGATGTCTTCTGCTTCCATTCCATCCTCCTCCCCCGGGAGACCGTCTCCCGCGGAGGGAGGTGAGGAGCTCCCGTCCCAATCGGTCTTGTTGTAATTCTGTGGAAATAACAAATTCAGGTGTGCACTTTTTACCCCTCGTACAAGAAAGGGCAGGAAAATATTTAAGTTCAGGCAGACATTTGTCACGAGATTTACCGTTTGCGTGAAGCTTTGTCCCACATTAGTGCTCATCAGCTCCTGATCCATTTGGTCCATGTATCTTTTGAGACCATCCAGAGTTTCTGCTCCACTCATATCTGCATGATCAGATGAGCCCTTCTCTGTCTCGTCCTCGTCGTCATCATCATCATCGTCATCATCTAAATCATCAGAATCTAGCTCTTCTTTGCTTCCTGGAAAAATACATTGTAGATGACCTAAAAAAAGGTCAAGTTTGAGGTGTTTGTATCATCAGGCACCGTGTACGTACCTAGTAATTTGTCCAGAGCGCTGGCCATGGTGTCCGGGTCAAAGCTAAAAGGCTGTGTTACACTTTTCCTGAATGACGAAGAAAGAAAATGGGAGATTTTACACAGAAAGCTAGAGAATTGTAATAAAATAAGAGTTTGAATTGTGAATGCATTGATGCTAAACATATATTTAGATAGTGGCTGCACATTCATCACATCATAAATCACAGAGTGAGTCATTCAGTCACTCTCTCACTGACCAGGGCATTTCAGCTCCTTCGTATGACGACATGGCATTCAGGAAGTCCTTCATCCCTTGACTGACAGCTACCAGGCTGTAACCAGCATCCTCCTCTTCGTCCTTGCTGTCCTCCATCTCTTTTCCCGCCTCTGATGCTTCACTGACATGCTGCTTCTGATTAGTGGAAATGGAGCTTTTGCTGCCAACATCAACTCTCCTGCTGCTTCTCTCTTGCAATAACAGCTCCAAATCCTGAGCTGTGACATCAAGCCAGCTGTCACCTGCAGATTGGCAACAAGAAGATTACACCGGGGTTCCTATGTGTTTACTAAATTCAATAGTTTTCCAAACTCAAATTTACAAACTCCGATGTATTTAATTGCAAAGTTACCATTCAGGCTGGACACAAAAGCAATGAATAAAAAAGTGACAGTTTTTGTAAACATTTTCTATCTTTAACAGGAACAACAGTAGCTCAGGAGGTAGAGTGGGTTGTCCAGTAATTGGAAGGTTGCAGGTTCGATCCTGGCTCCGACCAGAACATGCTGCTATTGTGTCCTTGGGCATGAAGTTAATTCTAGAAAACTGCTTCTCGTTTAGAATAAAACTGAACAAATTTCTGGATCTTGTGACTGACTGCTCCCACATTTGGTTCCCGAAGTGACGTGAGCTAAATATTTGTGAGTTTTATCTACAGAGTTTGGAAAGAACTCTGCTTATATTTTGAATTTAAATGTGTTTGGTTAAGAAATTAAAGCAAATGAAATTAGTGCTGAAGAATTTTCCCAATTTTTTTGGGGGGGGGGGGGGGGGGGGGATATTTAAAGCAAATACCACACTTTTCAGGACTTTATAAGAAACTTTGTATTATGGGGAAAAGTAGAAAAATAACAGTGTCTACAAGGTGTGTGTGTGTGTGTGTGTGTGTGTGTGTGTGTGTGTGTGTGTGTGTGTGTGTGTGTGTGTGTGTGTGTGTGTGTGTGTGTGTGTGTGTGTGTGTGTGTGTGTGTGTGAAAGAAGTAGCAGAGGTTAGAGAAACACAAAGTTACAAGTGAAACATTAACCATGAACATACCAGCACCTTCAAATGCTGCCAGCGGCGATTTTCCTTCCTTCCTTTTTTTTATGTGAAATTTCATCACCAATTAACCAAGGGGCAACTTAAACCCATTCAAGCAAAAAAATCTGCTCGTCTTAAGAATGACTTTCCATCGTTTATCGTTTCTACTCACTGTCCTCTTGGGGAAGCTGTGACTGCTGTTTTTTCAATTCCTCCAAGTCGAACGGAGGACTGCTGTGAAGCACCTCAACAACTTCCTCCCCAGGGGACAGAGGACTGAAAACACACATCAAGCACGTTCACACCGCTGCGCTGGCATATGAAAGGTAGCTATGGTCTCTACTGCATGATGCAACATTCTGTTAGGAAACAAAGAGCCCAGTTTTGAACGTTACTTTATCAGGCACCACCTACCTGAGCTAAAAACTCAGGTGGGCCACATGTGTGCTGAGATCAAACTGCACATTTGAGTGGCCAGCCTAGAGTATGCCTGTGCAAAACATACTTCATCTGATTAACACATTTTCATACACAAGATAGCTTCTCACCTTGACTTTGAGACAACGGAGTACTTGAAGAAAATTTCTGCTGATCTTAAGCGTTCTTTAAAACGTACCGAACCCTCCAGCTCTCCCTGCGTTAGACAGCAATGGCACTGAATCACTGTATGGTAGCGAATCGCTGAGCATGCTGCTCTTCCAAGTGTCTGCTTTTAATTTAAATACAAAATAGTGCACCACACCTGGAAGTAGTCGTTCTTTTTCAGGCTCTCCAAGAAGCCTTTCCACTGGGGGTTGCAGCTTACTGGCGCGTTTGGCTCCGAGGACGGCAGTCTGCATTTAGAGCACAGGATCTCAAAGCCATGGGCCTGAGAGAAGGATGCACAGTTAAAAAACATCCTACAAGACTCCAAACACAAGTTATCCATATATTTTGTTGCAAAAACAGCAAAAGAACAAACAAACAAACAAACAAAATATGCTTCACCAGTTTCATGCCCAACTCATAAGCCTTGTACTGAGGATGAGAGCGAGGAGGCAGGCTAAATCCGCTCCTCCGATCTGGGATAAAATCTTGCTGCTGCAGCTGTGCATAAAGGCAGCGGGTGAACGTCACCTAAAGAATAAATATCAAGTTCCAGGTTTCAATTAAAGGCAACATTTCACAAAAAAGTTATGCACTCACGAGTGTTTTTGTGCACTCACCAAAGTGAGGATTCTCGTATCAGGAGGAAAAGTCTTGAAGCTTCGACAGGCCTGTAGATCCACCGGATCCCGCAGATAAAACGCTGAAACCGCAGGAGCAACCAGGTCTGGACGCTGCGCCAGAACAGTGGCTACCCCTGCAGGTATGAAGCAGTGAGCCCGGTGGAGGTTACTCTGGATCTTCTCTGGATACCTAGATGAAAAACAGAGATAATGTTTTTTCTAAAACTTTACAGGGCCTGTATGAGCCATGCTGATGTTCCCCGTGTTGCTATGGTATAATGTGTTTCCACTTATCTGCACAGAAGGAATGCAGAGATTGTGTCAACAACATTTACGAGGCTAATAGCTATTAGATACCAAAGAGCAGTGGTGTTCTTTCAAACCCTCTCACTCTTTTATTCTCTTGTTCAGAGCTGAGCATATCTTAGGGCTGGCCTGACAGGAGTCTGGATGAGTGGAGAGTAGTGCTATGGCTTCTGCCACACTGGGAACAACATCAACTGGGAAGCCCACTGGACTTAGTTTGGAGGGGCAAGGAAGGATGTGCAGCTCTCCCTTGTAAAGAAAAACCTGTAAAGAAATGCAGCCAAAGTCAAATGGAAAATTTGCATTTTAAAGTGTCTTTCACATGAATTCTCAACCAATATCCAGCTATAACGAATCACACAATATTATGTCCCATTTCATCAGAAGGGCTAACCCTGTTTTCACTCGTGTCTGGGTTCAACCACTTTGGAAGGTAATCAGCAGCTTCGATCAGAATAAACTCCCCATCGTTGTCCTCAACCCTGCACACACAAACAGCATAGAGTTGTATGCAGCAAGAACACATTTCTGTTGCAACAGTAACACTGAGACCCTATAGTGTCTCACCTGGCTGCAAGCTCTGGAAAAACTTCTGTGATCTGCTTCAAGAGGTAAACAATAAACCACTCGTCCTCAACGTTGTCTCCAAACTGACTGCTGCCTCCAATGTGAGCAGGAATATTTCCTATCAGGACACGTGAGATTTGATGGTTACATTGCGTTATAAACAGGTGTTATGTCTAATCACCATACATTGACAGATTGGCAAGTGCGTATTACAGTGTATGCCTATCTGACAACACAAGACTTTTCAGACATGCATACGCTATCAGATCATACATTTTAAAAGATGTATGACACTTTGATGAGCCAGTTGACCCGTCAGATAGATTACCATACACTTTGTTTTAGCACACCCTGATAGGTCATCATCTAAGTGCAGCTGATTAAATCTTACCTTTCTCTGAATGAAATCTGAGGCTGAATGGCTGATGTTGCCAGATATACTGTACCAAAAGTGGAGCTAATTTAGCCAAAATCTCCTCTGTCAAGCATTTTAGGCGTTCTTCAGTCTGCTGAGAAGATAAACCATTTGACTGGACCAAGAATAGTTTGTACTGAACCGTATCTTCTTGAATCATCCTTTTCTGCAGAGCATCCATTGTAGCTGATAAAAGAAAAGAAAAAATGATTAATTTACTGAATAAAGGAGATGTCTGGGGAGAGCTAGTCTCACCAAGACGTAAATATGTCAGTTAAATGTACCTTGTCGTGCATGTAAAAGGTCCTTTTAATTTTAAATCTCTGCAAACCAGAACTGAAGAAATTTGGTATTTTCTGACGTTGCTAGCACGCCATCAGTGACTGTTTAGGTCCGTCCACAATTTGTAGTCGACACTCACATTTCTTTCGATGAAGTTCCGGTTACAAATGTATGTACGTTATAAAATATCTCACTTAAAAATTAACCTTTGTACCGTATATTAATTACTTAATTATTATTGATAAATAATTTTAACTTAGTAAATTAACTGATAAATCATACGCTGAATGATTTCTTATTATTACGAACGGAAACATTTCAGAGACGTAACCACATCGCCGGAGAGATGTCTGGGAAATGTAGGAAAACAGATTTGTGAAGAACGCGTTACACGTTCTTCAGAAATACATTTCCCGCGAACCCGCGCGGTTAAGAGGCTGCGTATCCATGACAGCCGCGCTGTTGTTTTCGTTGGTGCTAATGCTAGCATGTATACACACATTAATGCTAAGCTATTAGCCTGATCGCTACATAACTTCCGGACAAACGTGATTAGTACCTAGTGTAGACAGTCTAACTTAATGGTTAACATATTTGCGGAAGTTTTATAACACCACCTGTGCCCTGTTTGCATGTCACGGTCGCATCAACGCCTCTCAGCTCTTTTTAGCGTAGCCTCCTCCCCTCAACAGATAAAAAGAGCGTGTCTTTTGTCTTGCGGACTACCGATCGAGGATGGTGAGGCTCGTCTGCTTCTCACATAGAGTCCAAGAAGCAGAGGCAAGGATGGGAGTCGAGGGCTTGAGCCCATAAAACGGAGAGAAAGGAGAATGATTTCACGATACAACAGAAAACCTGTATCGCACAAACTTGAGATGTGAGTACCAAATGTTGCTTCAGCCCCCTGCGGCTTAAATCTACATATGTTGTTTGTTTGTGTGTGGTGTTCCAGCGAGTTACTACTGAGCTGATCTGACTTTTAGCTGCTTGAGTCACACAATATTCAATCTATATAGTTTACTATGTCAGTTGTTTTTCTTCAGAAAAATTTCTTGGGCTTACAGAAGATTAGTATTTACCATAATAATGACCCATTGTAACATTTAATTGTGTTTTAGCTGGGTTTGATTGCCCATTGTATTACCACTGTTAGATGTCTGCACAGTCATTTCCGGGCTGTTTTTTATTTATTTATGATGCTTAAGGACCGTGGCTGCGTGTGTAGTATTGATTCCTAGAAACTTAATTCTGTTCACTACCTTGACTTTAGATCCATGACTGATGCAAAGGAATTCAATGGATCATTGGCTCCTTTTTATAAAACTGTGAGAAAGATCCTTAGTAGTAACACACAAAATAAATAAATGCATACATACATACATACATACATACATACATACATACATACAACTTTAAAGCCTTTTTGAATTGATTTTTGGTTCATGGTCATCAGCTAAAGAATATAAATGCAGACTTATGCTTTCGAGATGTGTCTTATTTTTTGACTCTACGGTCTGGGCCGTTTGAATTCTCCTTCTAACGTCTGATAACCGATGTCATTAATTCATTCATGTGTTGCAGTCGTGGGTTGTCTCATAGCCGCCTCGATCACCACCCTCTCCCTGAAGAACCAAACGATAATCCAGTTCCTCATCACCACCTCCGTGACCTGCAGGAAGCTGTCTCGGCACACAACAGGTAGCTGTTTGCAGGCTAGGTTTCCAGGTCCAGGGAAAGGCCAAGACGGTATAAAAAAAGAGCGCACCCACACTCTTGCGTGCACGTTTTGTAATGTTACACCATCTTGAGCAGACAGCTGATTCTCCAGGTTCTTGCTATGTGACACCTAGAAGCAGCAGATTAATTAATATCACATTGCCTGCTTCAGATGTGCAGTCAGAAGGATGAATAATTAGGCAGCCTGTTAGAATATTCAATGAAGCAGACATTTTGATGAATCCAGCTGCTGTCATCCTGAGCTATATCTCCTCAGCCATATTACATTTAGGGGAGACGATGCTGTTTTGGTACATTTGTTGTTTCATACTTCTCACAAATCTGAAGATCTCCTTGTTTTCCTGCTCAGCTCCCAGGCATCGTCTGCATCAGGCCACTCAGCCTGCCCCACTGTCATCTCTTCGGTATCCAACCAGTCCTGGTCAGGTATTCACAGCGCCACAGGCACTGGCATCTCGACCGAAAGGAGCTCGGTTTTCTCCTGGGGCTATGACGTAAGTTTTGAGAAGACAGTCTTAACACTTAGTGGTTAAGCCAGCCTGGTTGCATCAGACGCAGAAGGCAGGGTTATTCTTTGCTGTTAAAATCTACTCGTTTTTTATATGGTTGCCAATAGAGAAAACATACAGATCGTATCCGTTATGCCATTTAAAAAGCACTAATCAACATTTAGCACATTTAGTAAAACGTGTGGCGAACAGTGGAGGGACAGCGTCTGAATAGTGCACCAGATGGTCTGTTTGTATGCAAGAGCTGTTTCTGCTCCATGGCTCTCTACACTCAGCTGGTTCGACTAAACTTCCCGAACTCAATGATTCATTTAGTTGTTTGTTTGTCCTCAGGTTGTGTACAAGTTACACATGCCTTGATTCTTAGTCTTTTATTTTTTAAAGTAAAAACAATCATCCCATGTAATTCGGCAGCACGTGTCCTGATGAAGACCAGGAGGCGGGAGCACATGACACCGGTTTTAGAATCATTGCATTGGCTCCCCGTATGTTTCAGGATCAATTTTAAGGTTCTTCTAATGGTTTTTAAGTGTCTTAACGGTCTTGGGCCTTCTTATCTCTCAGAACTGCTTTTACAATATGAACCCTCACGGCCTCTGCGCTCCTCTGGCAGGCGTCTCCTGGTCATCCCTAAAGTTAGGACACACACTCATGGCGAGGCGTCCTTCCAGTGTTATGGCCCTCGCCTCTGGAATGAGCTGCCAGATGACCTCAGGGCCGCAGAGAACGTTCAAGTTTTTAGGTCCAGGCTCAAGATCCATCTTTTTAGGTTAGCTTTTATCTAAATATTTACTACAGTTTTATTTCTCGTTTTACATGATTATATTTTATTACTTGCTTTGCATGTTCTATATAATTATATTTTAGCACAGTTTTATTATTTAAATTATTATTTTACTGTCTATATCATTTTATTTATTACTTATTTTCTAATTTTTGTCATTTATATTAGCTCTTTTATTATATTTTTACTCATTTTAATCCAGTGTTTCCTCTGTAGGGGCCCTCTGCCCCGGGAGCGGTGGTCGACTGTAGCTTCCTGGGCGCTCTATAGGTGGGGGTCTATGCTCCCCCTCCACAGAGCTGACGTTTCCTTGCGTTACCATACTTGGCTCATCTGGACTCAGCCTAATATAATTTTTACTCGTGTGTGTGAGTCTGTGTGTGTGTGTGTGTGTGCTTGCATATGTTTGTTAATGTTTTTAACCTGTTATGGGAATCTGGGGTCATTTTGTAAAGCACTTTGAATCACACTTTGTTTGAAAAGCGCTTTAGAAATAAATTTGATTGATTGATTGAAGGGTCCATAGGAGCCTCGTTTTATTTAATTTTTAATTTTTACATTTTTTTTGTAAAACTCAAAACTACAAGCAGAAAAGAAAAAAAACTAAAAATGATAAACAGATTAAAACGCAGTAGTGTATAAAAACAGATGGACGCTTAACTTTGTCCCGTTTGTCCCTCAGGAGTTCGACAAGGCAGCGTCACGCCAGGTGCAGCAAATGTTTGATGAGATCGACACGGAGCTGTACGAGGGGCGAGGCAGTGGGGGAGGGGTCCTCCAGGGGCTGCAGGATGAATGTCAGCAGTGGACCACACGCTTCCCACACCTTCGGTAGGTTGGGTTCCAAGATGAACGCTGACTACAAGCTGTTCATTTACTGTGTGTGCGTGTGTCTCTCAGGATCCTGGGGACTCAACTTATGTGTCCCTCTGATGAGGGCTTCCAGTGGTATGCTAATCCAGGGACACGCAGCCCATCAGTTGGCAGAAAAAGCGATGTGAAGTCTGAGGAGAAAGAACACGGCGGTGCAGAGTGAGTTTCAAATGCACTGACTCACTGTTTAGCCAATGGATAGAATGATTTCATCTGATGTGTCTCCGTAGGGACAGAGGTAGTCATGTCATTCGACACGATTTTTGCTCTAGAAATCTGAGGGAATGGCAGGTTTTAATGTCTGAAACTGTTTCCCACGTGATCTAAAGGGTTATTGGTAAAGGAGAACTCAAGTGGCGTTTTTGTAGAGGATCACTCCCTGACTCTGGTGCTGTGACCTAGATACTTAGTCCAGTTGATTAAGTATTTTGGCCAAAGTCACGTTAGATCTCTGAGATACACAGATGTCGTTCTAGATTGGGGAAAAACCAGACCGTGTGATGCCGCCTCTGGAGGAAAAGACTTGTGTTTACAGGGAAATCTTTACTCGCCTCCATGTAATTTTTATTTCCTGTCATTCTATGTGTCTTTGTTGGGGGGGCAGGTTGAATGTGCAGGGCAGGAAAGCAGCACTGATCAAGTCCTCGCCCGAGTTGGACACCCTCCCTAACGACATTGATGGTTCCAGCAGCCATGCCAAGCCAAGAGTGATTGAAGTCGAGGGTCTAATGGAGGAATATCTGGCGTTTGATAGCAGGGAATTGTAAGTTTCACACTCATGGGGGAAAAAATCCAAACAATTTCAAACTCATTTTGGTTAAATGATTTTAAAGAAAGTTAAAGTTTCCACGGGTGTTTTCTAGGGACGGTGAGTGTGTTGACAGTTCACAGTCGGTCCGGAGGCATCGCTGTCTCCCTCCCGTCTCGCCGTACCGATGTCGCCGCCAAGCTGTTCTCGACTTGCTGTTTGATGATGTGTGGCGGGAGCTGGTTGGCTGGATGAAAGAGTTGGTCCAACGCCACTGGGAATGCGGCACCTCCCGTAAAACTCCCTTTCACTCCTGTGAATAGATTTCATAAATGTGGTGTTTAATCTCTAAGCAAGTGACGTGCATTTGTGATTAGCAGATGATGAAACCATTTCTGGAAGCTTGAGTCCCGTGCCTTCAGACTCCCATGATCCATTTATTCTGCTCTCCACGCCGCCCACGTTGCTGCCTAAGCTCGGGCAGAACTGGGTGCCGTTGCTCACCGCTGGTCAGCAGGTCAGTGGTTGGAGGATGATTCACGTGTAATCTCTAATCTGGCTTTTGGAGGTCCCCAGACGCATGGAAAGGAGGGATCCGGGGGCTACAATTTACTGTGATCAGCTCGAGTGGATTTATTCAAACAAAATCCTTTAAAACATTACTGATAATACAACTTTTATTTAAAGGGGGCATATTATGAGTTTTTTCTTAAGTTATAATAGTTCTATGATCGACACAAATCATGTTTATGAAGTTCTTTGCACTAAATCCCTCACATGGAGCGATTTCAGCAGATTTATTCTGGATACTTTAAGTATCTTCCAGAATGAGCCGTTGCAGGGCTCTGCCACTTTGATAAAACAAGCTGGAGCTGGCCACGCCCACACATCCCACACTCAAACTGCTTTAAGCTGAGAAGCTCTGATATCTGCGAGGGACTCTGAGTAGAGCCACTGCTCCTCCATCAGCAGCTTTCTTGCACGTGAGCGGTGGTTCTATTGTAATTTCTCCATTTGTGACATCACAAACGGGGACTTCTTCAAACGACTTGTTTTAGGCACATAATTCCTAAAACCAAACACTGACAGAAAATGGATGGACACGTTTTCATTCATGTTTGGAGTGTTTCTAGTCGGTAGAGAGCCACATGGCAGCACAAAACGATGCAAAAGGAGAGTTTCGCATAATACGTCCCCTTTAAAGCTAAACTGTTGCATCTAAACAAGTCTGTCTGGGAAAAAAATGAAAGTCATTTTTAGAGTTGAGGCTTGATTTTTCATCCCTTGCTCTTTGTTCTGTTTTCCAGTTCATTAACTTGAGTCCCTGTTTCCTTCCCTTCCCTCTTCAACCTGTCCTTCAAATCACCACCATGTGTTTTATGCTCCTTTTATATTTCTGTGTACCTTATTTTGAAATCTCCGTATTATTTTGACATCTTCCCTCCCCTCCCTTTCGTCCTCCTATCTGCTCTTTCTTTGGACACACCTTTTCTCCTCCCTAAAGAGCTCAAAGTCAGGGGGCTCAGAGCACAAGTCCAGGTGGAAGTCCAAAAAGCAGAAAAGACCTTCCGCTGTACGTAACTTTTGCTTTTGGGCTCAACATTCGTAGAAGCTCGCCCTAATGTCCCGAGTCATCTGTGCCTGTTTAATAACACTCACTTTCCCTATTCTGGCTTTTAAATTTGCCGCACCTGCACGATGAATGCCAATAATTAGTTTTATTTATTTGAAATAAAGCTATATCCAGTTGTATATTCTCCATAATTCTATTTGTCACTCAGGGATCATTCACCGTGACCCAGGCTGGCCGGACATCTGTGGGAGCAGCAGCGGCGCGGCACAACCTGAACGACCTCATCACCATTCACAGCATCCCCCTGCAGCAGAGGAACCAGTATGAACACGCGTTCTTCTGTTAAATATTTACACACACACACCCAAATAAATAAATAAATAAACTGGAAGTTAAATCCAAGTTAATCCAGATTCTATACATTAATTTGATAATGGGCTGGTTGGAAAATGAATTTCTACCCATCTTTGTGGAGTTCTTTAAGAAGACACTGTTCTCTCCGCCACACAGAGACCCAGAGGAGCGAGCGTCTCTCAGGCCGGGCTCTAGTGCGGTCCCTTCCAGCAAACCTCGCCCCCGCAGAGTCCTGGAGCAGAGTTCTTCCTCGCTGTCTCGTCCGCCGCATTCGGCTCGGCGCAGAAACCCTCCTCCTCGGACCTTGCTGCCTCTGGTTCCCAGCTCGAGCCAGTCTAGCGCAGGAGTTTACCTGGATGAGGTCATCCGAGGGACTCGCCTGTGAGTTCAAGCATCACTGGTTTGTTTTTGGCTTCTGCTGCATCTTGAGTAGATTAATGGCTGAATCCGATGAGCTAATGGTGATCTTGGCGAGCCTGGTGCTGGTCACGAAAATGTAGTTGGAACTTTTAGGAGGAAAAAGAAGAAACTGTTGAAAAATCAAATCCAGTCCAAAACAAGTTGAAGTACAATCATTAATATTCTAGTGGTGAAATTAACACGTCTACACTCTGGAACGCCGAGATGCACAGAACGCCCACCTTCGTTCCTTTTGTTAGAATCACGAGCGCGGCACAGACTGGACTCAACGTGCACGGCTTCCTCCACAGAACCACGGCCAGCGACCGGCTGACATCTCCGCTGCTGCCGCTGAGCCGAAGCACCCCGCTTCCTCCCATCAGCATCGGGGAGTCGGAGTCTCACTCAGGGCAACAGTCGAAACTCGCACAGGTAGAAGCTCGAACCGCTCCACGAGTCTACAAGCTCTCCAGAAGAGAGCTGCATCAGGTGTGTGCTGTTTAAACAATCTTTCATCTCGCCAGCGTGTGAAAGGCCACCCCAGCCGCGCCCACAGTGCTATCAACAACGAGGCTGGCAGCTCTTTACCGAGGGATCGTCACCACCTGCTGGACGTCTTCTCTCGCCCAAACACAACTCACACGTACCGGGTACGCTGCTAGAGATCCACCTCGGAGCCGAGCAAGCACACAGCAGGGCTGTTACTGTTTATTGTGACTTGTGTTTCCAGTCAGACACGCCGTACCGCAGCTCTTTCACCGTACTGGACAACATCGGACAGGGGAGGCCGGGCAGAACAGCTGTGGGCACAGGTGAGGATTAATTAATTTAAAAGAAGAAAATTCAATAAAATAAAATTAAATGATTGGATACATTTACTGCTTTTATAACTTTGTAAACATCTAAGCTCTTAGTTAGGAACTGACTGACCCTCCTGCTCCGTCTGCACCTTTTTTGTCTGAAAGCAGTCCTGATGAAAAGCCCGTGCAAACGTTTGTTAGGTTTATTTTTACTCCGCCGCTTCATGATTTATGCATACATTTACTCCTTCCTATCACCAGACTCCCTGGGAATCGGCGTGACTGGCATTAGCCTCGGCATCAGCAGCTCGTCTTTCCTGGACTCGTTTCCTCACCACCCGCTGGGCCACGCCCCCATCAGAGATGAAGAGGAGCCAGAGCCACAAGTCCCAGGTCAGCAGAGCAGCTTCTCCAGTAATGTGTTGAGTGAGGGGTTGCCTCTGCTGGCTACTAAGAGTATTTATTAACTGTCGCTGTTCTGTTTTCCTCAGCCCCTCTGGTACCCGTATCAGGCCCACCTCGGTACTACACCCGGGGAAGCATCTCATCCAGAGCTGGCAGACCTGGCTTGTAGTTTTCTCCCGAGATCTTCATTTATTCGTATTATTGCATCACCCTGTCGTTTCTGCACCCACTTTCACTAAAGTAGCCGTTTTTGTTTTTTACTCGTTTTTGTATTTCAGAAATCAGCTGATGTGGGAATATTTATACTACAGCATGTATGATCAGATTGTGTACATGTGTTGTACTGCTACACAACTATGCAGGGAATCATGCATCCAGTCAATACAAAGATAAAAGCACTGCCCAGCCCTCTCTCTGACGTTAAATCGGGGAGTTTGGTACTGTACCTTTTCATAAAACAAGACATTCAGCATCTTGTTGCAAGCAGGAAGCAAATCAACACCCTACATAGAGAAGATCTGTGGCTGAACAGTCAGCGTCTCCTTCTGGAATTATCCTACCATGTAGGAAAATGACATGTACAGATCAGTATTTGTAAATAATCTAATCATTGTGTTTGTACAAATATTTAATTTTTTTTTTTTTTTCTGAGCAAAGCCAAGGGCTCACACATCATGTTCTACTGTAAAAGACTAAAACAGCCACGCCACGGGGGGAGCAGAGCATCATGAACTTGTTTTACATAAAATAAAAGAACTGTGTACAAACTACAACGTATACAAATTAATTTATTAACACTTTTACAACAAATTACAAAAACATTTACATATCTGGATGTCTAAAACCTAACAAACAATGTTCTGTTGTTACGGAGACATCAGTCGGGCTTTTGTTTGTGATGAAGTCATTTTGGACGTTCACTTTTTGGCTTTTTTCCCTTTTGGGGGTTTTGAAACTTTTTTAGAGTACTTCGCCTCCAGATCCGACAGGAAACTGTTAAAGTTCTTCTCTCTGGACTGCTGCTTTTGCTGCAAAACAAAGCATAAACAAGAAATTAGAATGAATGAAAGCACCTTCCAGCATCTGTTTACATGTAAGCAAATGTGTCACCTTGAGCATCATGACAAGACTATCATCATCACCAAGCCCCATCTCTTTCTGCATTTCTTCTGCTTCCTGTCGCTCTTTATCTGCCTGGAAGGGCAAAAACGATCTCATGATTAGAGCAGAAAAATATGAATGTTTGCTGCAGTATTACTAATTATAAATGGTTTAGAGGAATGATCAGGCCACATCTCACCCTCTTTCTTCGGGCCTTCTTCTTTTTGCCACTTTCTTGACAAAACGCTGGGAAAGCTTCGACATCTCCGCTTTTGATGGCAGCCTGAATGATGCTGCACAGCCGAGGCTCGTCGTCCTGTGTGCAGCAGAGAGCCGAGGCCATGATGGAGTCCAGATCTCCCTCATGCTGCACATAAAGACGGATCACATCCTCCCGCTCTTCATCTGATCCCTTATATTTCTTCTCAAACTCAAGAATGTCCTGCATCGTGACCTATGAAGACAAGCAAAAACAAACGTCAACAATGGCTTAGATTTCTATATTAGAGTATCATCCAATATAAAATTTCTAAAAAGAGATTAGTCCATGGTTTTAAAATCCAATGTTGATTTAAAGAAAAAGCACAATGAGGTCAAACAGGAGTAACTTTATTAAGTCAAACTGTGAAATTTTACTGATCATTTCACCGTATTCTATTTCTATCTCCTATCAGGTATTTTGCTACAAGAATGCTTGCATGGTCTAAAAATGATGCAATCTAACCACGTGTGCAAATATAAATTTGTGTGTGGGAAGAAACTGGGCCCATTATTTTTGCATCTGACCCCCGGTGGGCTCCATTACCTTGGGGAAGAGCAATCTCCAGTACTCCTCCCAGCAGCGGTCCTTACTGAGAACATCAGACTCTTCATCCACAACTCCCTGCTCATCATAAACAGCCCTCTGCTCCTGATCACTCAGCACTGAATACAGTTTTCCCAACACCTGCAGGAAAAATAAACACACGAAATCATTGTGAGATTAGATTATGGGATACAATTTAGACATTCATTTTATCAACAATAGTATTCTGTAGCCATCAATGTGACAGAAAGTTGTTTAACACCCATTGAATGTCTTGCAATTTTTGCATGAGGTGGTGTTGCGTTCAGATTTGCTACACGTCGATAACGTACTCAGCATGAGACTCTTCTTCTACGCCAGAATATGTACATTTTAGCAGGGAGACAACGCCGTGGCTAGATAGTTAAACCATTTTTTCGTGCTTTGGTTTCAATATTAGCACTAAACCCATGCCTAAAGAAAGGCGTGTGCATTGTTATAATAACCAAATACGTGACACAATTACTTGGCCTTACTTCCAAAAGGTTGACGCACCGCTAGCTAGCTAACACCCAGCTGAAGTTAGCTTTGCTAGCTTGATCGTTTGTTGTTCGCAGCTACTAGCAAACAATGCTAACCTGAAATTTCTCTGTCGCCTGCTGGTCATCAGGAGCCCTATCGGGATGGACTTTTAGCGAAACTTTGTAGTAGCTCCTCCGGATGTCTGCCTCCGTCGCTTCTTTGTTTATCCCGAGCACCTCATACAAGTTAGAGGTGTTGAACAGCTCTTTGCACCGCTCGAGTAAACCCATAGTGACAGAGCTCTGCTGCTACCGGAAACGTTAGAACTTGCTGTTTGCGTTTTCTTCGAAGTCTTCGCGAGCTGAACTGATTATTCAGTTAGGTTATAATATTGAATCTGAGCAAGTTTCAGTTTTCTCTTTGTTGGCAATGGCAACATCAATTTGGCGCGCTGGCCCGTCACATAAAATTATACGTACAGCGACGTGCTTACGTAGTAAGACACGCGTTCTCTCATTGGCTGTGGAGAACGAGACTGATAAATACTGAAAAAGAAAAAACGATCTTAGCGCCTATCAGATTAAACACACGAGGCGCTTCACAAGAACAAAAAAATGTTAAAATACTCAAAAAAAATCTTCAAAAAATGAATTAAAAATATTTTTAAATATTTTTAAAACAAGTTATTAAAAATTAATACAAGGATGTTTGAATATATAAATATGGAAGAGAATTGGGGCCACTGAAAAGAAAACAAAATTAAAGTCAGAATTCTGAGAAAAAAGTAAGGATTTTCTTGCCTTTTTCCCCCTCTGGCTCTATTCCTCTTCCATATTTTAAAAATAATTCAAAATGCGAAGAAAATTTTATACTCACAGCAGAGAGATGAATCTTAAATAACCTGTCATTTGTTCCTATGAAAAATAAAAAATGAAAATGACAATCTCAGTAAGAAAGTGAGATACATTTATGGCTAAGTTTGTTTGAGGGTTTTATAATGCATACAACTACATAAATAGTAACACGTTTATGTTGCTTTGTCCCAAGTTGGGTGAATATTTTGATGTTTCGTGTTTCTTAAAAGTTTCTGGAAATGGTAAACTGGATGTAAATCAATTAAAAATTAACTACTTTCTGGTAAAATTCCCCCAAATGTCTAAAGTTTAGGATGACATTTCATTTCACACGTTCAAAGGTATATATAGCATTGCTTAATGGCAGAGAGTATGTGTGCACAAATATCACTCAGACATATATACAGTCATACACAGACATCCTAGTATTTATTGGCTAGTTTGAAGCAGCACAAGAATACATAAAAGACAATGAGGCAAGTTACAAGGTAGGCATTTTTCACTGCTTCATGCAAAAGCAGAACACAAAATTACACACTTATGCGAATGTAGTGTCTTTAATTTGCATCTCCTTTGTTTACAAGCCTGTACAATATGCAGCACCGGTAATATACACAGCAACACACACACACCCTGCCTCAGATGTTATCTAATTATTGTCCCATCTGCTTCTGTTGCATCTTTGGCACAGTCATGTTGTCTCTGACGTTCTGTCATCACAAACCTCACCTGTCCTTTGTACTCAGACCCAGAACCAGCACGTGGACAACTGGCACATCTTTATCATTTTCAACAATGAGAAACAAAATGACAAGACTACAAGGGTTGCATTGTAAATGTTATGGACGTTTGCTGGTGTGCAGATCCTTCCCGGATGCTTTCTGTCCACTCACGCTGGTGGAGTTAGTGGTGTTTGAATGTGACCACGGTTTCTCCGAGAGAACATTTCTTTTTTTTTCTTGTTGCTAAAAATCTCTCAATAACAATCGAAGGGCTTCGAAGTCTTGGCCTGTCTTTACAGCATGTCCATGGCTGATGTGTTTTCCCATAAACAGGGAAAGTTTCAAAATGTCCTCTAGGGGGCGGCAGCTTAGCATTCCTTTCTGGTTTTCACCATCTTGCTGGCATACTTGACAGGAATCCCCCAGCGTCTCATTAGATAGACATCAAACACATAGGCTGTTCCAGGCTCCAGGCCCCCGATCACAGCTGTGGTGACGGCCCTTCGAGGATTCAGCTCTTGGAAATACTTGCAGAGAACCCTCTCAGTGTCAGAGCGGGACTCTGGGCCCAGACAGGGTGCAGATAGAGATGATGCTCCCGCAGCTTCTGCCTCGTGGTCACCAAGCTTCCTGTGGTAAATGCAGTACAGGCTTCTCTCCTCCGTACCCATCCAGGCCAGAGTGACACTGTTGCAACCACGCAACCTGTTGAAGGATTTGATCTGCAAGGTGGAAGGCAGCGATGGGACCCCTCTACGGTGGTACGCTGATGAAATCTGGATTTTGACCGAAGCTTGTAGAGTTGTTCCTGTGTTAGAAGCAGCCTGTCCAGCGGTAGTTCCTTCTCGCTGCAAGTGGATGAGATAGAAAGGACTTCCCTGGAGCCAAATGTGCACCAAATCACCCCCCACACTCTGAGAGCTCAAAACTTTTCCCTTGCTAGACACGGTTACCTTAATCTTTTCACCCCCGCCACAGCTCTGTAAGGTAAAGAGGCCGCTCTGCTGCAAGCCCCGAGGACGAAAGCTGAACAACTGTTCCGAGCTTAGGCCGTCATTTTTAAAGGTCACCCACCTGAGCTCTCCTTCTCTCAGTGGAGTGATCGCTGTTCGAGCTTCCTCGTGTGTCCGAGCAAATGTTCCCTTGTACACCGAGCTGGTCCTATTCACCTTGTCGATCACAAAAACGTCAAAGTAGTACGGCGTGTCAGGCAGGAGCTCGGAGACGGTACAAACGCTCTCTGTCCCCCGACATGCACACTGAAGATCAGCATCAGCTAGGGGCGTGGACAGACCTTCAGCCTCGGGATAAGTGTCCCACTGCTCCCACCACCACTCTTTCAAAATCGGCCACACTGTCCCTCTCCTTTTTTTCTCCACCTTGTCATCTTTCTGATCTTTCTTCTTCCTCGCGCTCTGTTGTGCAGCGCAAAGGCTGGGGTAGTTTTGCAGAGAGTTGACGAGGACACAGTAATAACTGTTGTCTGCTTGTGGGTGGCTGGTTATGGAGGCACTGGGCGCCCAGCTGAGGGTGACACTAGTCATGCCCACACCTAAAGTTTGAACTTGCCGGTCAGCCGGGACCACAGGGAAAACGCCTGAGGATCCCAAGCCTTCATGGAGGAACACCGTTGCTCTTGTGCTCTGCTGTTTGGACCGGAGCCTCAGGATGTAGATGGAAGCATGTGGAAGGGAAGGACCACTGTAGGTGTCCACTGCATCACCTGTGAAGATGTGTAGATTCTCCTCGGTGCCAGGACCGCGCCACCACACCTCGGGCATGCTCTTCTTGGTGCTCCCTAAGAGAAAAAGAATATAAGCATTTAAGTCACCTCAAAGCATCCTGGAATTAAAACTGAATTTGGTATTCACGTCAACACAAAAGGTATTATCCACCATCTTTAATGTGCTGTAAACAAAGCACTTCTGCACCGTGTGTTTGGTATCAAGGTCTGCATCCTCTAGATTTTACCCAGCTGCCACTGCGAGGTCTTTGAGAGCTCCTGGAACGTGTTTCATGGATGCATTTGGCTTTAGGAAGGTATCTGCCTCTACATGCTGCCAGAAGAACGGTAATGCTCCATCGCACTGATTCTAACAGTGTACTGTAGGGCTGGAGCAGCAGTGGTGACAAAGTCATTCCCTCATTTGGTGTTTGGCTGTCGCAGTGGAGAAAACTGTCTAACACCTAAAACCTTTCTGTTGCGGTCCAGTTCATAAAAATGTGTTGCAAAATTCATCAAACCCACTCGTGATAGCTGAGATCATTTCTCTGGTGTGAAAAGGAAAAAAAAATATTTTAGAATTGCAGTGACCTGAGTTCTTTGTATATGACACATGGACTTATTTAATGCTATCAAATGAGTCCCCCTCACAGAAGCACTGTATCCTCTGACTTTCAGGGTAAAAGGTTCAGGTTTTGCCTACTTTGTTTACTCTGATACTGCACTAGGTAGTTTTTAACCCTTTGAATTCTATTCTTTTAAAGCAGAACAGTTTTTATCAATATTAAACTAACAAAACACACACTTTTATCTAAAGGCAAGTCTTGAGAGCGTTTTACCATCATTGATGTTTTTTTTAATATAAATCATCAGTTTGCTGTAAATTTCAATTTAATTTCTTTGCAAATAATTTATTCATGGGAACAGCATCTCCATCTGACACATTTGTTTTTATTATCAGCTGAAGTTGCCATTTAACCCGCAGCACTCATAAAAGTCAGAGTTTCAGGCAAAAATTAATTATAGCAAATTAGATGTCAGAAGTTTTCGAAACTTCAGGCGTGGTGTTTCTCTCTTATGAAGATTTGTTACTATCTCAGGACAGAAAGCGGCTTCTAGCACTTTCATGCATAAATTATGATAACTTAACTCTGGATTTTTATTTTTAGACATGAAAAAAAATCAACACCAAAAAATGCACTTTTCTAAGGGTTTTTATTACATTAATTTGGATGCTTTTCACACTAAACGGTTAATTATCCACTTCATTGACAAGTATTCATGCAAAGGATAGCATACAAGGCTGTATTTGCAAGTTACATTGTACAAGTGAAGCCAAGTGACAAAAGTTGCAGTTCCCCCCTCATCCACCAGAGGCATGCTCCAGAAAAAAGATAAATTTCCATTGACTACAATGGAATAATAAATAAACATGTTTACAGATTACAGATGGTTCAGAATTTTTTTTTTAGGTTTAATAGGTTAAGTTTTACTTTCATGACAACTCTAAGGGGGTAAATCCTTTTGTGACACATCTGTTTATATTTAAATAAAGTGTGCATCTATGAATAATTAGGGGCGTGTCCATTTGATTGACAGATATTACAGATGAGCCACCAGCGCTAGCAGCTTGTCCACCCTGCTTGCTCCAGTGAAGGCTTCAACCTCTATCTCACATTCAAAGTGTTACAGCCTAGAAGGCAGAGGGCAGCTGCTCAATTGCGGTTTTCTGGTTAAAGAGCAAGTCACCCCCAAATCAATTTTTTTTCTGATAAACTATAAAAATGCGTGTCTAATCGTGCTGCAGACACATGTAGTCAATAGTTTAGCACTTTAGTGCATTTTAGTTAATTTTCTGCCTAAAACTGTTAGTGTTGTGCCATTGTCAGGTGAAATCTCTGCACTGCATTTGAATTTAAATCTGCCATCGCTATTGGCTAAGAAGTACCCTAGAACATTAGCTGGTACCATATGATGTCACAATGTCATTGTGAGCCTGTGTGTGTGTGTGTGTGTGTGTGTGTATTTGTTAGCGGCTCCGCCTTCTCAGTCTGCTAGGCAACAGAATTTGTTGCATTTTTCAAACAGGAAGTGGGAGTTGAGTAAGAGTCTGGTAGGGGTGACTTGCTCTTTAAAAGCACCGGCCAACTGTTAGCTTCTGTTAGCTCGGTTAGCTTGCAGCTACACCAGCTCAGAGTCGGATGAGCCCTACTCTCAGCTCCATTTTTGTGACACTGTGGAATGGAGCTGACACACCTGGCACTGCAGTCTGCTTCCAGCACACTTCCTGCATGCTTTAGATCTTAAACACAGCTGATTTGTTTGATTTAGTGATGAACCGCTACTCTAAAAACGAATGAAAGCTGAGGAGACACTTAAGCAGAGTAAGATGACTAAGGGGTGCTAAAAGCAAGCAAAACTGCCAATCCCTTTAAGTGTGTAATTACACACATGGCTGTGTACACTCTGAAAACTGCATGACACATCTAATCAGAATAACCTGAAAATAAAGAAAATCATTTGCACTTAATAAATGAACAAAACGCATAAAATGTCAACCTCCTCTAGAGAAATAATTGCCGGCTTTTTTTTCCGTTCACACATAAGTGTTTTTTTCTTTGTCATATTTAATCACTAACTTTCCACTTGAATGATGCAACTGGCAACACACACACACACACACACACACACACACACACACACACACACACACACACACACACACACACACACACACACACACACACACACACACACAGACACACACACACTTGTTTTTCTCTGTTCATATCACCTCAAACTAAAACACTTTTCATTTCAGATGAGATTTCAGAATCAGAGTGAATAATGCACGCTGGCGATGAGGTAACCAGGAGCTCACAGTTTGCAAGATTTATTTGTCATTTTCTAACTCCATGATGCCACTGTAATGTGTATAAAACAAATCCAGGTAAGCTGGATGTCAGCTCGGCGCCTTTGCTTTAAGTTGAGTTTATTCATCAGGTTTCATGTGCCACAGCGACAGCCTGGTGCAAAACTGCAGAGCCTGGTTTTATTTTATAACTCTTTCAGTATCTGAAACGAGTCAGTCGCATATTCACCGTATGTTTTATGATCCTTGAAACATGACAACCAGATACGATCGCACAGCCGCTGCCGGTCTCCGATATTTTGAGCTGCATTTTGAAAAATATTATTCCTTAGTCCATTTTTTCAAACGTGAGCCAACGGGTTGGATGCACTGATAAGGACTGTGTGGAAACACAGAAGTTCAGGGGGAATCGTTTTTCAAATATGCAACCAACTCGCCAAAGTAAAATGATGACAATCTGATTAAAAAATAACAAACGCACCGCTCCAAGTACAGCGGTGATCTGTCTATTGCTTTGAAGAGGTTCATGGATATTTGTTCAGAATTTTTTATCATAACTTGTTTGAAACTTTTTGTTTTAAATGTGATGTTCGCCTGTTTGTGATTCACTAAATCCTAATTTTGATCATTTCCAAAACAGGACTGTTCAAAGTAAGGCTCAGGGGCCATTCACTGCCCTCAGAGAGCAATTTTGTGTGGCGCCCACTTGCATTTCTAGAATGATGAAATGTCTCACTAAAGAGCAGTGCAGACAATAGTCTACAGGCAAACAGGACAGGCTTCGTGGAGGTGCTTCTCGTGCAGAAAAAGCCCACAGACCAGAGGACAAGGACGCAAAGCAGACTTTCACCTAGCGGAGTCCAACACGGTGCATGGCAAGTTGCCAATTGGAGCGGCAGAAGCGAAAGAGCATGGAGGCAGAAAGCTAAAAGAGCCATGAAAAGGTAGCGCTCGGTGGACCAAAAGGCAGCAGAATCAACACCAGCGAGCAGTTAAGCTAACTATTCAATAGTAAGCTAACAGTAGATATTTTTACTACATGTTATCAGCGAGGTGAAGAGCGTAAGAACTGAGAAATGCCGGTGAGGGTGGGGCTACCACCCGGCGTCACGCTCATTTGCCTTTACAAGCAAATAATTAGATGTGTCTTCCACCAGGCCACACGAGGGCGTTGCGTCCCGTAGCATCGTCATTGTACCAAATGAATCAAACGAAAGGGAACTACGGTTGTATTTCAAACTGTCGTCAACGGGGCAGTTTGTCATACCCTGTCGATGAAGATGCAAATACATTCTTTTTTTAAAGGACTTGAGTACCTCTATCTGCTCTTGACTCAAAGAAAAGCCCAAATGCCAAGGCCTTTTCAAACAATAACATGATCCTTTCCACCAAACCACAGAGCACTGTGATTGGCATAACCTAAAACTGATCGACGACTGTCTGTTTAGATTTCTAGGCTAGTAAAGCATTATACATTATTATGTTCAGATTTATACTAAAATGCCTGCTTTAGACTTATTTTGAGGTGTAAAAATAATCAAATTCACTACAACATAATTTCTGTATTTTTGAAATACATTTCAATACATTTGCTGGAATCTCTTAAATGAATGCCTTGTGAATCATTTTCTGTGGAAAAATGCTCTGGCGCTCCTGTTTCAGGAAGCAGAAGTTAGCTGGAGAGGAGGGAACGGGACTTGGAGTCTTCCTTATTATTATTCATATCATAGTAGTTGAACATCTCTCCTCTGATTGGCTAACAGCAACGTGACTCATTTACCGTCTCATTTCACTCTGCAACAATGTCTTATCTCTACAAATAACACAACGCTGAAGGAGTTCTGCCATGTTGTGGAGTTGCTAATGCTAACAGTTAGCTTCCGCTAGCCATGATGGGTGAGTCCATGAATGCAAATTTACAGTGAGACGTCGATCTGTCAGCAGCTAATGCAGGAAATAGGGCTAGAAGATTTTTGAACATTATTATGTTCAGCCTCCATGTGAAACTGATCATGTAAAAAAAATAAAAAAAATAAAAAAAAAACAGGTAAAAAGTTTTTCGAAGTGAACCTGCTCTTTAAAGGGATACTAGGCAGTTTTGCTTAATTTTAGCACCCTGGTTATTAATCACTGTGGTCAAACCAAAAGTGAAACTTATCTCCTCAGATGTGATGATCTTTTAGTGGTCTTTATGTACTCACACTGCTGCTTCATGATGGGTTTGTCCTTCAGGGAACGAGCAGTCAAGCTCCACTCGATGGCGAGGTCACAGGGAATGACAGTAACCGACATCGCTGGGGCCTTCTTCTTAAGCGTGAAGTACAACCTGCAGACAAACAGCAGCAATACCCATGATCCTTTACAGCAAGAGTTAGATAGATAGCATCTTATTCCCATTCAGCTGCAATGACAAGATACCGTCCAGTGCACGCTGTGTGCAACATTCTTCACCTTTTATGGATGGCTTCTAGATAAGCTGGGGCGGCATCTTTTTCACATTATTCTGATCATTTTGATGCTGCTGCTTTTTCAAGCATTTCCAGTCACCCACTGTTTGTGCCAGATAGCAGACTTGCACGCTCATGCTGTGGTGTCTTTTATACTAGTAAACTAGGCTGTGGAAGGCACTCTTATAGAGTTTTGTTGCATCTCAAGAGACCTCAAGTTTTGTTTTGTGCTCATTATTTGCATCAAGTTAAATTTAAGAGACTTTATGTAAATGAGGAGCGTCCCGGGAGGACTTCTTGCTCCTGTAAACCGAAAACAAACCTGACAGTTGTTGATTTTAGAGGAGGACAGACTCTTGCCTCAAATGTTTCCAGATATACAAATTTTATTGAACTATTTAAATAAACTAAAAGATAAATGAGGAAGTTTGCAAATGAGAATCCATGTCAAGACTGACACCCAGAAGCCTAAAAACAAGTTTTTTTTAATTTCTCCTTTAAAATTGAACGGATTCGGTTGCACTCATCTCACATGTGCTTTAGTGTGTGGTTTGTACCATTAATCTCTGGAAATATCCATTGAAATGTTGTGGAAAATGAATGAAATGATGCCCAGTTGTTGAAAAATGTTGGCAGCTTTGTAACATATAACCATAAAAATCTGGACTAAAATACATAGGAGTGGGTCTGAGTCTCTGTGGCATGTCATATTAGATGCAACGTTTCCTTCTACAGGAGCCTGTAAGGACAAAACACATTTACCAGTTTGTAACAAGCAGTTGCAAAACTTTTACCATTCACAAACATTGTTTTACACGTTTACCTCTTGACTTGTTGCCAGTGATGAAAGAGAGTCTGATGTGTTTGTCGTTCTGCTAGAGGATCTGACAAAGAACTGTTCAAAAATTGCACTCCCAGAGATTTTTGACCCTAATGGCCATCCGTTGGTAAGGTCTTACTCGGACACAAAACTACCACTTTGTTACGCAAACAAGGGAAATACATTTGTTACTTTAACCTTTTCTGTCACCTCATTTTGATGTTTGTTACCTTCGAGTTCGTCCTTTTGGAAGAGTTACGGAGGTGATCTTCCCCTCCGGTAACCATGTGGTTGGACGAAGCGGCACCTCGTTCTCAGGAGAAAGCGCCGAGTGGACCTGGGGCCACAAAGAACCACAAACCAGGGCCAAAGCTGTACCAAAGCACCAGGACAGTGATGCAAGCGCCATCCTCTCCCACTATTTAGCCTTCCTCCGTTGCTTTACGATATACGGCTCTCTCCCAGACTCTGGCAACAAAAAGGTCAAGCGCATCAATCCGAGCCCAAACAGCAACAAACATAAACAGCAGAGCGTGGAAACACAGATCAACTTCTTACTGCGCCATTCACACAAGAGCTGCACTGACTGATGATTCACTGATGTGAAGAAACATCCTATCCTATTCAGACAGAATTATTCATGTTGGGCATAAGAAGTTGCTGTGCTTTATTACTCTGGGATATGTGAGTAGCACAGCTTGACACACTGCAAAAAAATAAATTAAAAAAAGCCTCACACCATTTTTCAAAGTGTGAAGTGGGTAGCTAATGTGGTTTAGAAGTTGATGCCTTCATGTCTACACTTCTATTTTTAGTTGGAGTTCAAATGGGTCTAATTTCCAAATATCTTTCATTAGTAAGTATTTAATGAGCGGGAAGTGATGCCACGCTGGTGCGGCGTGCACAAACAACACCTGGAGGTGCTTTGATGCAGCGTCAAGTCACCAACTAACAAAAAAGACATACATTTTATCCTCTGTCTTTGATTTTTCTCACTGTTAGCATTTCATTTTATGTGCACGTCTATAGGTGGGTGTGCTGCTTTATGGCTCGGCGATAGTAGTGTTTTTCTTCCCCTCCAGAGGAAAAAGGCGTCTTGTTCAAAGTCACGGCGTCTCGACAAACCTGCTCCCTGCTTTCACCTAACAAGGTGTAACGTGTCAGCGTGTTGCCCTATAGATCAGGCGACAATCACCGTAGAATCACGGAGGCAGCTACAGAAGGAACATCAGACGCTTTTGGGCCACGGCACGCTCCCACATACGAACTCAGAAACAGTCACAAGGCTTCAAAGTCACACAGAAGCGCCTGCTCATTATTCTCACATGGGTAGAAGGGAGAGAACGACCATGAAGCTTTAACAGAGAGACAAAAAACAAAACAAAAAACAAACAAAAAAATAAAACAGATTGAGATGGGTGGGAGGAAGGGGAGGCTGAGGGCAGGAGGGAGGGCGGTGGAAATGGAGAGGAGGATGTTGGAGTAATTAGAGGGAAGAAGATGGAGAGGCAAAGTGGACAAAGTGACACGGAAGGAGAGGGCTGGAATCAGAGGAAGAAATAAGCAGGCAGTGAAAATGCTTCAGACTTAACTAGACATATGAAGCTGCTTGGTGTTTGTTTAGCCGCCGTGCCAAATGTCCAGCACACCACACACACACACACACACACACACACACACACACACACACACACACACACACACACACACACACACACACACACACACACACACACACACACACACACACACACACACACACACACACACACACACACACACACACACACACACACACTACCAGACGGCTTCACAACCTCACAGCCCCTCTCGCACACTCCCCCTCGCTCGCTCCTGATGAGGATGAAGACACCAGAAAGCCTTGGCAGGGCCTGTTTCTTCAAAACGGCGCCTGCTGATGAAATATGCATACGGCTCTTCGGCAAATTATGGTCAATCGAATTTTCATAAGGCAAAAAAAAAAAAGCTGGCTCTTTTTGCTGTAAGAGAGAGAGCTGGGTGAACTTAACTACCACCCTCTATAAATAAATACACATTCCACTTTAAACACAGGAGCTCCTGACGCTGCTTTGAAGGTCCTGCTCGCTCTCGGCTCGTTTCCATTCTGTTTATCCCCAAACTCTCAAATGAATGCTCCAATTCCTGATCTGCTGTTTTGGTTTTAATTAACTCAAGCTCTGTTCAGTTTGCCCCTTTCTGTCCCTCTTTCTTCTTCATCTGACCCCCCCGTTTGGAAGTCTGTACAGGCTCAATTTCAGAGGTGTACTGGTGTGTGCTATCTGTCCGCACGTTGTATTCAGGCTCTTCTGTCTGCCCGCGCTCAGCCAGGACCATCTGCCTTCTGTTATCTTGAGGCAGGGACAGATTAAATGGCACGGGGTGGTCCCTGCAGGATCTGTTGCCCCCTCCCTGCTAAAACTACAACAAGCAAAAGAACCGGCCTTTGATTCATAAGGGGGGCTTGATGAGATGATAGCAGGGTAACAAGCAACAACCGTGAAACCTGATAGGATTTTTTACCTTGCTGCATGTACGCTTGAATAAATTAATCGTTTTCTTGTTGCTCCCATGTTTTTCTTTCCCTTTGTGTTTGCATCTCTCCTTCGCCTTGTTTTGTTTTTGCATTTTTGCAAACTTTTACCCAGTTTTATAACTGTTTTTTGTTTCCCTGCTCTGAAGTCATACTTTTCTACAGGATAACAGATCAAAAGAACAAAAAGACGCATGACCCTCACCTTTAAATGCTCGCAAAACAAAACGCTGAAAAGACAAATGCAATTTTTCTGATTTTAATAAAGATTCTCAGAAGAAACCACACACACACACACACACACACACACACACACACACACACACACACACACACACACACACACACACACACACACACACACACTCTCTCTCTCTCTCTCTCTCTCGCTCTCTCACACTCACACACACAAACACACACACACAAATGAACACACATAAACACTGATTCAAAGAAATACGTTGCTGACTTCCACGAGCAGTGGGAATCTGAGACTTGCACACACACGCGCGCGCACACACACACACACACACACACACACACGCACGCACACACACGCACGCACGCACGCACACACACACACAAATGCTCTGCAAAGACAACACACATGCATCTGTTCATCCCCTTACCTTCTCTCAGCTCACGCTTTCCTTCTGTGGTGCAGGGAGTGAGGGATGGGATCAAATGAGAGACAGAGAGAGGATGGAGGAGGAGGATGAGGAAGAGGAGGAGAGAAGGATGAGAGGAGAGGAGGAGCGACAGCAGGTTGTTGTCAGGTGTTCCCATGAGCTGCCGTAGTTCAGGAGGTGTCTCTATAACACAGTTCAGGTGTCCCCTCGGGGATGTCCCAGCTCCTCGATTCCCCAGCCGTGTGACTTTCCTCACTCTTCCTCTCCATCTCCTAGACCTTCACACGTGGACGCTTGTCCTGCTAAACAGTGTGTGAATGTCATCCCCTCAGTAGTAAGGCACCTGAGTCTTTTCTTTTGTCGCCCCTCCTGTTATTTTTTACTTGTTTCCTCCTCCTCCTGTCATAGTGAATGCAGCTCACTTGCAATTCAAATGGGCTCATGTGTGACTCCGTGTGTATCTCAACGTGCAATCTGAGAGTGAGGGAGTGAGTGGGTGAGGATGTGGGGGCTGACGGTGAGGCTGCTGAATGGGGGAGGTGATGAGGAGACACAGGGAGAAAATGTGTTGTCAGGAGCGGCATTACAGAACAGCTAGAGGTGATGGAAAAGTTAAGCACATTCAAAATACATCAGCCTGCAAGCTGCTCCATATTAACATGAAAAATAGCTTAAATTTAGTTTGTTTAATGTTCAGATGGAGGAGTGAGAAATGTGTTAAACAGGCAACAGGTGTGTTAGAGAGAGACAATTAAATAGGCTGAAAGACTAAATAAAGACATTTCAGCAATGAACAGGAAAATGGATCATTTACACCAGCGACTAATGACTTCTGCTCTTAACTCAAAGTCTAAAAACACACCTGGGAGGATCATTTTGAACATCCATTTACACTGATGAGAATATCTTCAGAGATGTTTCTGTTGCTCATTCTGAGTCTTCAGAAATCCCAGCAGATTGCATCAAGTCACTGAGTCGTGCGTCAGAGACTTTACAGCAACCCCGATGCTAAGCAAGCATGTGGTGACAGTGGAGAGGAAAACTCCCCTGTAACACGAAGAAACCTCTAACAGAACCTGGCTAAGTATGAGCAACCATCCGCCATGACTCACTGGGGTTTGAGAAGACAGCGCACACACACACACACACACACACACACACACACACACACACACACACACACACACACACACACACACACACACACACACACACACACACACACACACACCATATATACCAAATTGTGTTTCTATGGCTCTATACCTTGCGATTTTTTTAGTAGATATTCTATTTCATCAACAGATAAACTTTATTGTCTTTATCGGATCGAATCTACCAATAATTCCACAGGTGAACTAGTAGTAGCACATTCCGTGTCAAAGAAAGTAAATGTTATTATCAGGAGAGGGAGAATGTTTAGAGGTTAGCAGCAGTGTGCCAGCTGATGGCCCCCTACATGAGGCCACCACAGCTCAGCAGAAAACCAGTGTAGCTTCTTCTGAGGGGAAAAACACTTAGAGAGAAAATAAAGTTAACAGCTGATGTAAGAGGAAATTATGCAATTAGAGGATAGTGGTATGAGAAAGTGTGTCCTGCAGCGTCTGAGTCTATAGCAGCATAACTATAGAGATAACTCAAAATAACTTACCCTTTTAAATGAAGGCATGTGTGAGGTAGGGCCTAAATCAAAAGTAAAAAATACATAAATAGTAAAACTGAAATAAATAAATAAAATGTCTTAAAAACACATTTTAAAGGTGTGGTTCACTTGTTAATCAATATATTTGGAGTGGTCTTTAGTAAGGATGACTGCCTTCTAAATCATATTCAAGGAAAACAAAGTCCAGAAGCACCTGAATCAGCACGGATAAATCTGGAGTCTTACGCCGGGGGGACACCGGCCGCCGAAGCGCCGCGAAATTGGGACCGCCTTCATTCAGCACCCTTGTTATCCTATTCTATAGACCACATGGGCCGCAGAAGCGCCGCGCACCGGCGACGCTCCAGCCCGCGCTGTGCAGCGATTGTTTCGGCGTCTGCTCTATTTTTTTCGCGAACCGCGGGTGAACCGCGTCAATTCTGGCAGGAAGTCAAACCTAGACATAAGAGGTCGGCCGGTAAATTTAACAAAATAAAGCATGTCAAAATACAAATCCGCGATAGTAAAATGTGTTTGTAAACAGACACTGCAGAAAAACCACACGAACACACACACACACACACACACACACACACAGCGAACTTGTGTGTGTGTGTGCGACCACGTGAAAGGGGTGTGGTTTTGGGTGTCTTTCAACCAGAGCAAACAGGACAGAGAGGCAGAAAGTTGCAGGCCATTTATTAACAACTGGTTCACACCATAGGTTCACACACACACACACACACACACACACACACACACACACACACACACACACACACACACACACACACACACACACACACACACACACACGCACGTACGCACACACGCACACACACACACACGTGCAAACACACACACAAACAGCAAGGGGGAGGGGGGTGTCGAGGAAAAGAGCAGAGAAAAGGCGGAGAGGAAATGGAGCACACCAAGTGGTTAAAAGAAAAACTACGAGGCGCGCCTCGACCGGAGCGGAGAAACAAGCATCTGGTCTGAACTGAGGAGCAGCGAGCAGCGGCCGAATTTCGTGAGCGCTTCGCCTCCCGGCGCTTCGCGGTGCTTCGGCGGCCGGTGTGTCCCTGGCGTTATTTCCTGACATTTGGACATCTTGCCTCTGATTGGCTAACAGCAACAGGACTCAACCACTGACTCAGTTTGCTTTGCAATGTGGAGGTTTTATCTCCGTAAAGAACACAAGCCTGGCCATGTTGTAGAGTTGCTAATGCTAACAGTTAGCTTCTACTAGTCAAGATGTTCTCTGCTGTTTCCTGAACGCTATAATAACAACAGCGTTCCCTGTCGTTAGTCAATATGGGTGAGTCCAAGAATGTTAAGTGACGGTGCAACATAGATCTGTCAGGCTTTTCAAATCCTTGAGTTTCACCGTCTATTGTCTATAATGCAGGAGATTGGTGTAGGAGATTATTTTCATGTGCAGCCTGCATGAAAAACTCCCAATGACTATTATATTAAGAAAAAATAATTAAAAAATGTTTTGTCAGTGTTCCACACCTTTAAACATAACTTTAGCTAATTTTTGTTATTCAGCCGTTTTAGCCCAAATGTAGACAACAGATTTTACGGCTGGTAAATCAATTTGTTCTAAGCTTAGTTCGTAGTGCTGTTTATGTCATGTGGTTGTCTACTAGTTGGGACCGTCCTGCACACTTTGCAGGTTGTCCCTGTCCATATACGTTCTTGATTGCGCAGAACAAAAGCATTCAAGTGGTCCTTGTTGCAACCATCATCTCCATAGATGTCAGCAGCGCTTTCAATATGTCCTTTTAGATACATCTGTGACGCTGTTCTCGGTCATAAGTGTCCAAATTGACCTGGCAAGTCTTTTAAACTAAACTATATTCTTGTTCTTGTTCAGTTTTGGAGCATTGAGATGATACTGGCGGCTTTTATGAACACTGGACTGAAAACTGTCCACTTTGCTAAAGAAATCCAGGAAGCAGAAAAACAAAAACACAAAGGATTTCCCCCTCAGTAGAAGTTGATGGCACCAGTTCCAGATAAGTGAAGTAGCTCCTGGTGGAAGCATCGTGATTCACCTCCAGAACAACATAAAAACTGCTATAAATGTTCACATTAGCAACAAGAGCACAGGATTTGTAGGCTTCTCGTAAGTGTTGGACATCATTATTAGCTAAGTTTATTTGCTGCGTTCATACTAGAAGTTTCTGTTTTATTTTGTTCCAAATACAACAAACTAGACATCTGGAATAAAAAGACATTTAAAGTCCAAAAACATCATATTCGTTTTAGAGGCTTTTTGTCCTCAACCTGCAGGTCAAGTGTAAATCCTGGAGAACTGGTGGTTCTCCAACCCCACCCAGCCCTCTCATCTCCACACAATGGAGGGTCTCCTCGTGTACCCCCCCCCCCCCCCCCCCCAACACACACACACACCCCATGAGCTCTTTAATCAATATCACCAGGAGAACAGAAAGAGCTATGAGCTAACTCCTCCTTCTCCTCGTTTTCTGATGGGGCCTTTTCTCACTCTTTCACTTCGCACTTCAGCATATAGGCTATTGAGGTCGCTGTGAATGGGACCCACTCCACCCTCGGGGAATATTGTCTGACCGCAGACCAGAATCTGAGAGACCTCCCCTTCTCCCTTCCTCCCTCTGCCTCTCTGCTTCTCTCTGCCTGCACCATCACTTCAAAGACAGAAAGAAAAAAATGTGGCCCCTGAGCACTATTAATAAATGTATCACTTCAGCTGTCTTTATCAATTTTATTTTAGAGTGAGGAGCCTTCGCTGCTGCTGGACTGTCCCACTTTTTAGTCTCTAAAAAAGTTCTGAAAGTCTGGCCCGGCCCGATACGGCAGCTGCTTCGGAGGCCTGGGGATTAACAATAGACTGCTTACATTAAAATGTTCGATTAGATTTGTTCTGACAGCGTTTGGGTCACATTAGACCTCAGGTACGCAAACTCACAAGCTCTGATTTTTCCTGTCTGGCAGCCATCATGACCGACCTGGGTGCTGCTTTTGATCCCCCCCTCCTCTCTTGAGTCTGTTTAATAATTTATCAAAAGAAAAAGGGAAAAACACGAAGGACGAATTCCATTCACAGAAAAAGCAACAGAGTAAAAATTTAATTAGGCATAATTGCTGAAAAAAGAAACAGCAAAACTGGATTATTTCATCCATTATTGATGGGTGCTTACAAGCCATACATAATGCAATGTGCCGTCTGGATAACAGTATTAAATATCACATGCATGGGTCAGGAGGGGTTTGGGGGCTGCAGACCCCAGTTAGCTGGTTCTGTAGTACCCGAGTGTCGGCCTGGGCGGGGATCAGCAGTGTGAGATTGACAGAACAAGACGAGATTAAGTAAGGGGGAGAAGGAGGGAGAGAGGGAGAGAGGGAGAGACGGAGGGAGAGCGAGCTGACAATGGGTTAACAGGAATCTTTATTTTTAACAACATGTCATCACTAGCCGCCCATCTGCTCCTGTGCTGTCAGTGGCCCTCGGGAGTGTGTGCGTGTGTGTGTAAATGCGTGTGAGAGAGAGATGCGTAAATCCCCATTGTAGATCACATCAGTGATCAGCACCCAAACGAGGAGCAGGAGGACAAGGTTATGGAGGGTGGGTGGCTCATGGATGTCTGCCTTTTCTAATAACCAAGGTGAGCAGGCGTGAGCTGGTGGCTCATTGAGATTAGTTGGGTCGATCCACTGCCCTTTCTGCGTTTGGATGGGGGGATGGAAGGAGGTGGACGAGACGTAATGAGAAGGAATCTATTAGCACAGAAAATATGGGGGGCAGGACACAATAAGTGAGAGGAAGGAGCTTTTAGGGTGGCCCCAATAACCGTCAGGGTGGAGGAACAGGTTCCTGCAGAAGAATGAAGTGAGATCACTCATCCTTAGAAAAAGGTTTCATCTCACGATTTATCTCTGCTTTTGATTTTCGCCTCCTGGTTTAAATCACGGGGCGGCCCTCCAATGGCTCCGCTCCTACCTTCAGAACAGGAGCTTCTGTGTTAGGATGAGGGAAGCGTCATCTTCTTAGGTGGGACTCTGCTGGGGCATCCCACAGTGCTTTGTTCTTGGTTCCCTTTGCAATATATCTCCTACCCCTATTGCTTCTCTGTCGATGGGATGATGTCAAATTCCATCTTTACGCTGATGATTGCCCGATCTATCTTCCACTCCCAAGGGGGGCTGATTTGTTTCTCCACTACTGGACTGTTTTAGGAGTGTTAGATCTTGGATGACTTCTAACTTTTTACTCCTAAACAACACTAAAAATGAAGTCATAATTCTCAGTCTTGTTAGATTAGATGACTCTGACGTATGAGTTGTCAGCAATCTAAGGATAAAAATTGACTCAGCTCTTAAGTTTGGGACACAAATTAATACGATTGTCCTGTTTTTTTTGTCTAGGGCACACCTGGAGTCGGTTTTTCATGCATTTGCCCTGTCTCGGCTAAACTACTGCAATGCCTTGTGTGCCAGTCTGAGTCAGGGCGCGGTTGCAAGACTCCAGCTTTTCCTGAGCTCAGCTGTGAGATTTCTGACCAGACAATGGGAACACAGTGACCTAGTGGTAGAGTGTCCGCCCTGAGACTGGGAGATCAGTGTTCAATTCCTGGTCGGGTCAGACCAAAGACTTTGAAAAAATGGGACCCAATCCCTCCCTGCTTGGCACTCAGCGTTAAGGGTTGGATTGGGGGGTTAAACCACCAAATGGTTCCCCAGTACGGCTGTGTCTGCAGCTCACCGCTCCCCCAGGGGATGGACCAAATGCGGAGAACAAATTTTGCACACACATCAGTGTGTGTGATGACTAATGGGACTTTAACTTTAATTTAAGATCCTACAAGGCACTGCTCCCTCCTATCTGTCAGTACTGCACAGACATGTCCGATCTCGGTCTCTTTGTTTGCCTGAGCGAGAGCTGTTGGTGGTACCGCCCCGCTCCAAACACAGGTTGAGGGGCGATCGTGCATTCTCGGTTCTGGCTCCAACACTCTGGAGCGCCGCCGCTTCTGGTTTTTAAGTCTTGCTTGAAATTTTTCATGTGATAGCATTTCAGTATTAGGGATCATAACATTGCCTTGATCTTTAATTACTGTATCAGCTGATTTAACATATTTTTATGATAATTTCCTGTTTTTATTCAACATAATTTGAATGTTTTTATGATTGTTTTTTTTATCTTGCTTTTAATGATACACAACACTGTATTTATTCTTATTGTGAGTTTTATGGTTGTGTTCAGCACCTTGGTCAGCTGATAATGTCGTGGAAGGTGCTTTATAAACAAATGAAATAAAAATGAAAATCGCAAAAGCATGTTGCATCCCTCCAGTGGTCCTCTCCACTTTATCACAAGAAGAAAAAAAAACATCTGATGGAATAAAAAGATCTTGTTTTGATATTTAGAATGACGCCTTTGAATTTTGCTTTTGGAGAACACATGCAGCCAACAGTCTTTAGTCCTCATTAGCCTCACGTCTGAGTCTGGATCTCATATCGAGAACCGAGATCCCTTACTTCCCTGTCTGTCTTTCTCTCCTTTATCCTTCAGGCATCGGAGGCGTAATTAGTCCAGAGAAACCCGTAGTACCAACAGCATGGCACGCAAGATGTTGAAGCACCAACATCCACTCAGTTTCACAGATCACACAAGTTTCTAGAACTCCATGTTTTATATATAAAGAAGTCAACAACTTTGCATTATGTAAGTTTTTTGTTAACCATATAGCAGTTGAGTTTTAAATATTCTGCATCATACTATAGGATTACAGGAAATGTTTTGCAGCATTTTTTTATTGCGTTTCATCTTCTTTCCTCCTCAGCCGTCTCTGCCATCCTTCTCCCTCGCTCCGTCTCCGTTCTCAGTCTTCTCATTTCTGATCCATTTTTTATGCATTACACCATTACTCCCTACTCCATTTGCAGTGACTTACTCCTTCCCATCTTTTGCAAACACACTTCCTCTTCTTCCATCAGTCACTTTGCTCTTCCCTTCTAAACCCCTCCCCCCGTCCTGCATCATGACAATTTTCAGCACTCTTCTACTTAACCTTGTATAATTATCTCTTTGTCTCTTCTCTGGTCACATCACCCCTTGCTAAGTGTTTCTTCTCCTCCTCCTCCTATCTTTCTTTTTCATCTAGCTTCCAGAGTCTATCTCGGAGCATCACGTTGTCTGTTGCCCTTCTTTTAATTGGTTATTCAAAGCCTGTCAAGTTCATTTGGTTTCAGTAAAGTCTTTGTCCCCAGTCTTTTGTAACACTGTCGTACAAATGTCAGCAAATGTAATTAGCAGTAAATATAATTGGCAATAAGCTTGTTCAGGCATTTTATTGTCATGTTTGAGACACAGATATGGATTTGCAGACAGCAGTGTGCAGACTGTTGGGTTTGATGAACTTGTGAATTATGGTGGGAAAGCAATGATGAGTGAGAAGTCTGTAGACTTCCTGTAGATTTGGTCCAAGCTCAAAGGAGAGGAAGGGATTTGTGTTGCTCTTTTATTGTAGAACAAAGCTTGTGGGAGCCCATGTTTATTGCTGTGGAGACAAAAAATGAAACAAATCATCATCCTGAATGCTATTTGGTCTCAAAAGTACTGAAAAATGTAACATTTCAAGATAAATGAAGATGATATGAAAATACCACATAATGAATTTCACGCTTCTTCTACTGGTGGAAAGCGGAATTACAACAGTGACAGACAACCCTGCTGCAGCCCTCGCAGACAGCCATGTTGTAAGTATGTAAGTAAGTAAGTAAAACTTTATTTATATAGCACTTTTCACAGATAAAATCACAAAGTGCTTCACAACATACATAAAAAGGCAAAACAGGACAGGAGCACAAGGTCAACTTACATAAAAGCTTGTCTAAATAAAAGTGTCTTCAGCTGCTTTTTAAAAGAATCAGCAGAGTCGGCCACACAAAGAAACAAGGGCAGGGCGTTCCAAAGTCTGGGAGCTACAGCTTGAAAGGACAGGTCCCCTCTAGTTTTAAATCTGGTCTTAGGGACCTTCAGTAGGTTTTGACCTGAGGACCGTAGAGTGCGGCCAGAAGAGTGAGGGATTAAAAGGTCTGATAAAAAGTGTGGAGCTTGTCCGTTAAGAGCTCTAAAAGTCAAAACTAAAATTTTAAAATCAATTCTAAACTTGACCGGTAGCCAATGTAAAGAAGATAAAACCGGTGTTATGTGAGCTCTTCTATTGGTTCCTGTTAAAAGCCTTGCTGCAGCGTTCTGGACCAGCTGGAGACGACTGACATCTGATTTGTTAAAACAAGTAAAGATAGAATTACAATAATCTAAACAAGAAGAAATAAAAGCATGGATAATAATTTCCAAGTCCGATTTTGAAGTAAAAGCTCTCAATTTGGAAATGTTTCGCAAATGACAAAAGCAGTTTTTTACTAAATGTTTTGAGTGGCAGCTCAAAGACATGGACTGGTCAAAAAGAACACCAAGGTTTCTGAGACTGGTCTGGACTGAGGAGCTCAGGGAACTGAGGTGTTGTTTGATTAAAAGCACTTTCTGTTCAGGAGCAATGATCAGTGTTTCAGTCTTGCTTGAGTTCAACTGAAGACTGTTACTGGCTAGTCAGTCCTTAATACACTCAATGCAATCAAGTAGATCAGCTAACTTGTTAAACTCTGTGTCCTTGAAAGAGCAGTACAGTTGAATGTCATCCGCATATAAATGGTAGGACACATTAGTAAAGCTTGTAATAGTCTCCCCAAGACAGCAAATATATAATAGAAACAAAATTGGGCCAAGGACCGAGCCCTTGGGAACACCGTGAAGCAAAGATGTGACTTCAGACCTAATCTTGTTTACGCATAAAGAAAATGTTCTGTAATTTAAATAGGAAGAAAACCACTTCAGAACCGTACCAGAAAATCCTAAGTCATTGTGTAGTTGATGTAACAGAATTTTATGGTCAACCGTGTCAAAAGCTGAAGACAAATTCAATAAAACCAGTACAGTATATTGACCAGAGTCTGCCACCATCAGTACATCATAAGATACCTTTAAAAGAGCTGTTTCAGTGGAATGCATCTTACGAAAGCCTGATTGGAACTATCTAAAACATTATTAAGGTCCAGAAAAGTAGTCAGTTGCCCTGCCATCAACTTCTCCAGAACTTTAGCCAAAAAAGGGAGTTTTGTAATTGGCCTGTAGTTGCCAGGTTCAGATGGGTCCAAGTTGGTTTTTTTCAAAACAGGGCTTAAGGCTGCTTGTTTGAAGTAGCTTGGAACTGACCCAGTAGAAAGTGAAATGTTAAAAAGTTTGGTGATGTGTGGGCCAACAACATCCCAAACTTTCAAGAGCAGGGATGAGGGGACTACATCTAATGGGCAGGAAGAAGGCCTCATCTTTTCCAGAGCAGCTTTTGTCAGACATGGTGTTACATATTCTGTTTGTTATGACCATTGGCAGTTCAGAAACAAAGAAAAAAGCATTAAGAATTTGATCGCTACTTCTTTTAGATGGTTGAAACTGTAAAACAAACTGATATTGCAACAATAGCTAGTTCAATTCACACACGGATGAGCGGTCTGTAATTTTGTAACCTCCTTTAGCTCCCAGTAGGCCGCGACAATGTTCACTCAGGTTTTAGCTCTTTGTCTTGTTCACACATTCTTGCTTTTCCTCCAAAGACATTACTCACTCACTCCCTTTTTTCTTCCAAGCTCCACTATGATGCCAACAGAAAAGCAAACTTCTTCTTCTTCTTCCTCTTCTTCTTCTTCTTCGTCTCTTTCTTTCTTTTACTGACAGTCAGCAAATTGAAAAAGCTAACTGCTAGTCTTCATTTGAGCTTCCGGCATAGTAAACTCCACCTCGACTTGTCTGCTATTACCATAAAACAGGTAGAGACCGCTCGCTTGTTTCTACCTAAACCAACAAAGTTGTTTAATGCATTTTCTGGCCATCAGGGGGCTACAGAGTGCTGTCCAATGTGAAGTTGTTGAAGTTTTTGGCTCAAGAATCACTGAAACCAAAATGAAAGCAACAACTTAAAAGTTTTATAAACGTGTTAGTCTTACTTTAAGGAGAAGACGAGTTTTAAATTCTTTAAACATCAACAACCTGACTGATATAATCATGTTTTGTGCCTAAATCTGTCCTGAGCAATGTTTGAATAGTTATTGTTTGACCTTTCTTTTGACTTTTTGACCAGGGTTACTTGCGGAGTACCACAGGGTTCAGTGCTTGGACCAATTCTTTTTACTATATATATGCTCCCAATTGGTAAAATCATTAGACAGCATGGGATAAACTTCCACTGTTATGCTGACGATACTCAGTTATATTTATCCATTAACCCTGATGAACCTAATCGGTTGGGTAGATTACAGGCTTGTCTTGAGGACATAAAAAATTGGATGACTCTTAACTTCTTGCTTTTAAATCAAGACAAGACGGAAGTTCTCATCTTTGGACCAGAAATCCAGAAAAGGAAATTGCTTAGCCAATTGCCTGACCTTAATGGCATTACATTAATCTCCGAGAACAAAGCAAGGAACCTTGGTGTTATCTTTGACCAGGACATGTCATTCAAATCCCAGGTTTCACAAGTTTGTCGGATTTCCTTTTTCCACCTTCGGAATATTGCTAAGATTAGAAGCATACTTTCCAGGAGTGATGCTGAAAAACTAGTTCATGCATTTATTACATCAAGACTGGATTACTGTAATTCATTACTCTCAGGAAGTCCACAGAATGTAGTTAAAAGTCTTCAGCTTGTCCAAAATGCTGCAGCTAGAGTTCTGATGAGAATTAAAAAGAGAGATCATATCTCTCCTGTCTTAGCTTCCCTACATTGGCTACCTGTTAAATTCAGAATAGATTTTAAGATCCTTCTTCTCACTTATAAAGCTCTTAATAATCAAGCTCCATCATACATCAGTAATCTGATTGTTCCATATGTTCCTAACCGAGCACTTCGCTCTCAGACTGCAGGTCTACTGGTGGTTCCAAGAATATCTAAACTTAGGATGGGAGGCAGATCTTTTAGTTATCAGGCTCCTCTCCTGTGGAACCAGCTCCCAGCTTTAGTCCGTGAGGCAGACACTTTGTCTACTTTTAAGAATAGGCTTAAAACATTTTTATTTGATAGGGCCTATGGTTAAAATCTGATGTTAGCCTAAATCTGGACAAGTGGGGGATTACAGGGAGGTGGAGTGTACAGTCGGTAAAGACGGCTCTCCCTTGCCCTGCCTCCAACATGCCTACATCTAAATAGGATAGATTATCCAGAGTTAACTCTGTAGTTATGCTGCTATAGGCTTAGACTGCTGGAGGACACACTGACCACTTTTCACACTCTACTGCTTTATTCTACAGTCTGCTCTTTAACTGTACTATTTTGTGCAATTTCAGCAGTTAACTTTATTTTCCCTGTAAGTGTTTTTCTCCCCAGAAGAAGCTACAATGACGTTCTGCTGAGCTGTGGTGGCCTCATGGAGGGGGCCATCGACTAGCACACTGCTGCTAACCACTAATACATTCTCTCTCTTCTGATAATAACTTTTTGTTTTCGTTGACTTTTGATGTGCTAATACTAGTTTACCCGTTTAATTATAGATCCACTAGGATAAATACAATAAAGTTTATCTTTCACCAAATACAATATTTACTAAGACATCACAATATAACTATAGACACATTACTTGTCTGTGTGTGTGTGTGTGTGTGTGTGCGTGTGTGTGTGTGTGTGTGTGTGTGTGTGTGTGTGTGTGTGTGTGTGTGTGTGTGTGTGTGTGTGTGTGTGTGTGTGTGTGTGTGTGTGTGTGTGTGTGTGTGTGTGTGTGTGTGTGTGTGTGTGTGTGTGTCTGTGTCTGTGTCTGTGTCTGCCTGCTCTGTCTTCTCCATCCCCAGTGAGTCGTGGAGGATGGCTGCTTATACTGAGCCAGGACTCTCTGGAGGTTTCTTCCTGTTAAAAGGGAGTTTTCCTCTCCACTGTCGCTGCATGCTTGCTTAGTATGAGGATTGCTGTATAGTCACTGACACTAGTCAGTGACTTGATGCAATTTGCTGGGTTCCTTATATAGGAAACATTATTTCTGATTGGCTTAATGAACTGTGAATTGGAATGTTTATTATGTGAAGTGCCTTGAGACGACTCTTGTCGTGATTTGGCGCTATATAAATGAACTTGAATTGAATTGAATTGAACTTGTTGGCTTCAGCTTAAAATTTACATCCACCCAAATCCAAAAATGTCATTGATTCCTTTAACGTCAAGTTGTATCAAATTCATAAATCAAATTAGGCAAGTCTCCGTCTTTATAGGAGCTGGCCACACTCAGCTCCTGATCTCTGCTGTTGACCCACTTCTGACGGTTTTGTGTCAGACAAGCCATTATATGCTAGGCTTGAGAGGGAAATCATTTTTGTCCATTAATATCCTTTCATCTAGAGCTGGAGTCAGGCTCAAGAGAACCAGCAATTAATATGAATGTGATGATCGTCAGCTTTAAAATCCCCAAGTTAGTTTAACGTTTAAAAGTGTAGATCACTGAAAAGGACTTTTAAAAA